GGCCCAATACACTGTTTTACCCCCTCAGCGCCCCACAATTGATGCAGAAGCATTTTGACTGATGTTGTACCGTAGATCGTCTTCATAAACGTCAAACTATACTGTCCAATCATAATGTCAACATCACCAACAATTTCGACCACTGCAGTACCCCCTGGGTAGACGTTCTCCTCCTCCTCCCCTTAACGCGGCACCACTATCAAGGCCACGGTCGTAGTTTTTGTTTCGGGTGTGGCTTTCATAATCAGTTAGTGATGTCAATCTACACACGACAGCAAAAACCAAGTCAATCAAATCATTATATCACTAGTTCTGGCGTACCGACCCCCTCCAGCCTCAATGTGGCAATATCTTCCTGACCGTTTATGCTATAACTTTGGAGCAAATGGACCGATTCCTTCACAAATTGATTTCTAGCATCCTGAATACTTACAAATGTTTGTCAAATAGACAGAACTCCCAAATTCAACCTCCATCATCTCGCCAAAATCACGTCACACATTTACGTTTTATACACTGACAGGAGTGAGGATGCCTCCCGATGAGCTGATGTGCAGACAGAAATTGCTGGAGGTAATCCACGAGATGTGAGGAAGTACATCCAGGCGAGCAGAGAGCGAGTACGGGTTGCCTCCAGGCAGATGGCGGATTCTCTAACAGAAACTCCCGTGGGCAGAACATGACGTGTGCAGAATGACCTCCAAGCAAATATGGAGCTGATGAGGGTAGGCTCCAGGCAATGGGCAACTTGCTCGGAATTGCCTCCAGGCAATGAGCGACTTGCTCGAAATTGCGTCCAGGCAGGGTGTGACTTGCTCGGGAACACCTCCAGGCAATGTGTGACTTGTGCGAAATTGCCTCCAAGCAGGGCTCGACTGGTGGGCGGATCGTCTCCAGGCAGATTAAAGCATATGCAAATAAATGACATTTTTTGGGGGTATTTACAAAATGTGTACAAAACTGCTGGAGGCATCCTTCAAAGGGGAGGGTACAAGAATTGCCTGGAGGCGTGGCCGGATTCCTCCAGGCGGCGCCGGGTTCCTCCAGGCGTCGCCGGACGCGCCGGACGGGTCGGTCACAGTATGACAGCCGCCCTCTCCGAGCGCGTCGCCGGTCCGCGTCCGTTTGCCCGAGCAGCCGGACACCGGACAACCCCGGACAACCCCGTCAGACCTCGTCGGAGTTCAGCCAACCTCGTCAGACCGCGGCAAACTTCGTCGGACCTCAGACTCCCTCGGACAACCTCAGCGTACGTGGTTTTCCCTGACCCTCCTGTGCCTAACTTCATTTTCAAAAAAACTAAACGGTTATTGTCCCAGAAAAACCTTCATACTGGGCTCCGTGTGGCACTGTGTGGCCTCACACCTGATGTCCTCTGCAACCTACCAAAAACACTGATATTCTGAGCAAATTGAAGGCCGAGAAGGGTAAGGGACGATCTCCTAGCACTTTGACTATATAACGAGCAAAAATGGGTCCACAATCGACCATTGTAGCACAATACGCGCCATATTGAGATGATGCCGGTGCACCGGTTGTGCACCACGCTCAGATCTCATACGAGAAATTTATAGTAGAGGCCGAAAAATAAGATCTTACACAATGCAAAAGCATTCTGAGTCATCTCTCGAGTTCTGCACTCTGTACGTGTGGGTCTTGTCCAAAGCTGCTACAGAGCAGCAGTGCCACACTGCACGAAATGGTGATCCATTTTCAAACTCCGAACGTGTGTAGCAAAATGGGCCCATAAAAAACCAATACCCCATGAATAGTTTGGTTGTTGGACCTACTTGATCGTCTCGAGGGGCACTCTCATTGGTTCCGTCGACGGGTCCTTTGCGACTTAATGGCGATTCGAGGGTGGATACCTTCTGCGCCTGCCATTCTGAGGACTGAATGAGAACACAAGGTAGTACAACTGGAATGTTGGATTAAACGAGCAACCACTAGTACGAGTACCTACGACGCCCCTATGTACGCACTACTACCGTACATTGAATGTTTCTGCTTCCTTTGTGAATGAACAAAACTACCCAAACGGAAACCAACTCAACTGCAACCAACAACGCGAATGTGAAACATGCCAAAAATCAAGTCCATGAGCAAGAAGGTCCGTGATTCGAAACCGTGGATGAGTATGAAGAACAAAAAGGTGATGATGCTGAATGATGATGATGCTACAGATACGCGACGAGTCACAGCAATGCATGCGCGAAAAAAAGTTCAATGTCCAAACAAATGCGGAAAAAAAGGTCCGTGAGGCGACGAGACATGCGAGACCTATCCAACAAGTTAATGTGGGACAGGCGCCGCACGCCCCGTACACCTCGAGAAGTAAATGCAGTCAAAAAAGACAAAGTGTTCGAACGAGAAGACGAAAGTGTCCTGGCGGCGTGAGGGGTTCATCGATCATCATGCAATGGTCCGTGAAATATGTTTGTCAGGATCAGATCGATCGTGTGGAGCCGATGTGGGCTAGGCGGCTTAAGCCTCGATGGTGAAGTCGGGACTGAAGTTACCGGAATCGCCAAACACTGCATTGTTAAGCAACGCCATTGTCGGTGGTCAGCACATTGTGAAGAATGATTCAGAGAAAGTAAAGAGAGGAATCATGTTACTCACAGACAAGCTCGTACGTGCCGGGCTCCACGTCAGGGACCTGGATCTCAATCCTTCCGAGCAAGATGTCGAAACCGGAAGCAAGAGCGTCTGAGAATCATACGGATATCATGTCAGCGCACTAGGATAACGATAATGGAATATGAGGACGAGAACGTACTGCTGGTGTCGGTAAGGTCGTTGTGCCTCAAGTAAATCTCTCCTTGCTTGTTGGTGATGTTGACGGGGGCGCTCGAAGTGTCCTATTCACAAATTTGCAGTCAGCGACTCATCCCTGCATTCCTACCAAAGTGCTCGTGCACCGAGCCACTGCGATGGAAAGAGGAGAAGAGACATACCCAGGTGACGTTGTGGTGCGAGTTTACGGCCCAGACAGTTCCGGCATGCGGGTAGGTGATCGGCGGAACAAACACATCGCGCTTGAAGATGTCAACAGGCGCGGCAGAGACGAGCGAGAGAAGAGTCGCGAAGGTCGCAAGGACACCAAAGAAGAAAAAGTTCGTAAGGGTGTTCGTGAACTTCATGATGGATGTGTGATGAGAAATTCCTTGAGTGGGTGATTCGGTGGTGATGAGGATTATTAGAGTGAATAGACGGCTTGTTGTGTGGGTTTCGTGAAGTGTTTTGTGCTTTGGATGTGTGAGACGGGAAGGGGATGAAGCAGAAGCCTGGGGAACAGTCGACCTGCTCGGAAGGCCTTATATACCCCAGGTCCGACCTCGATCGGGGGTTTGAGACCGCCTTCGGAACCAGTCGGGGCCCGCCGACCGGCCCCACTGTGGCACTGTAAACTCCGACGCCTGTTCTTTCTTACCCTCATCATCTCCTCTAGACTCGGACCGCATTACAATCCCCACTAGGCAAGGCGTGTGGCCTTCTCTACCCATGGACTGTTCTGCGCATCACCCGACGGTGGAGTACGATGTTGCCGACGATGCTCATCCTCTTCGGGCTCATTTGCTGACGTGCTCGGGACAACTCTTTCCGTGTGTTCATACGATCGCCGACTCTGGGCCACACAGTGCATTGCCACACGCAGCCTGATCTGAATGACTTTCCGACCTCCTGAGGCCCAAGGAGCAGCACAAACACACAACACGCAATTTTACGCTCTGAATGAGCGACGTTACACCGCAAAACATTGACTTGAAGCATGTGGACACAAAGCTAAGCGACTCAGTGACACAGGTCAGCTGGGTGTCTTTTCCGCCTTGTTGGTTCCATCCTTCTTCCCGCGTCGAGCATAGTACATGGAAACTTACTGACTCTTCTGACAGGCATGTAACGGGACACATGATACCAGAGATAACGGAGAATGCATTCATCATCTGCAAAAAGTACACATCGTACACGCCAAGCCGTGTCAGCCAATAAACATAGAACTATATATTGTTACACCTCTGCTGCTCAAGTAACTAAACTTCATCAGCAAACCTTATAGTCCTCCTTCTCTTGGTCGGACTTCCCTCAGTATTCACCTCAGTGCCTGAACCCACACGAATTCTAACATCAGCGTCGAGGTGTACCGCGTTCAGAACACGAGCACCAGTTGGATCATCCCCGGTGATGTTCGTGAACGTTCCATCCGATTCCCCTCGCACATCGGCCTCAAACCCTACGTGAGCAGCATCGATCGTGATAGGATGAGAGTTACGATCAGCCGTGGTAGGTTGCGGCACGGGGTGGCCGTGACGCCCACGAGAATCGCCATGCTCGACACGCCCGTCTTGAATCACTCCATGTCCAATGCGCCCATTACGCCCCACACTCGCAGATCCAAAGGAAGCTCCCGACTTGGACGACGTAGTGCTAACGCCGAAGGAACCAACGAGCGGTATGTCCAACCTCGTCGTTCTCGAACGTTCTGAATCTGATACGGACCTTCGACCGGCAGACGGAGTGGCAGTAGTACTTGAGCCCACATCGATGAATTTGGGATGCTGGAGCCACAACACGCCATGAAACAACACAAACATCAGTCAAAGCTCCACGAGATGGCACATGAGCCAATGAAAAGGAATGCCGATTATGTACTGACCTCGATGAAAGACCGGATCCTGAAATCGTCGATGAGGCTGGGTAGTTTCTGGCCTGTACTTGGACCTAGGCCTGCAGAGCTTGTCGATCCTGCCCTCGCTTTCGTCTCTGCACGTCGTGCCATTACGACCTCTTCTGCTGTAGCCCTGATCGCCAGTGTTTTCACTGCAATGGAAAATGCATGTCCGTGAATAACGGGCACAAAAACAGAAACAAGTCAGTAGAGAATTTGTGAGCTATCAATAGCTAACGGCGAAGGGAAGCATGGCAGGACAAGGAGGGGATGGAAAGAAACGGGTAGAAGATAGGGTGGTGTGAAAGCTCAAAGCCGATTTTGGAACGCCGTGAGCACATGGAAAGGATGACTCACCATGTATCGGTCTCGTCTGACCTATGCGATGCGCTCGCTAAAAAGAACACCGGTCGGCATTGTCAATGAAATCATCAGCAGCCCCTTTCATCGAGTCGAGACCGGAGGGCTTTGAAACGTGGCGTGTAAAGTCCAGACGGCGCAAAGCAAGTTTTCATGGACGGACGAAATTGACAGACGAAGAGCTCACCTTGATGGCCTGCGCTTCCACGTCGGCCTGCCATACCGGCTCGCACAGGATGATGCGCGTCGCTGAGATGAGGTTCCTACATTGACCAATAATATACGTGAATCCAGTGCTCAGTAAGACCCTCTAGACACGGGCCAGGGAGAAAATAGGGTCATGGAGTTGACTTACAATCCTCGGGAACCATGCTTCAGCTCCATCAAGAAAACCCTATACGTCTCCGATGTCTCAAACGTCATCACATTCTGCTGTCGCACGCGCATCTGATCCTTCGTGGTATACATGAGGTATTTGACGCGGACAAGGTCGAGGCCGTCGGCAACGTAGTTCAGCGTCAGTGGTGATTTTGAGAATATGAGGAATTTCTCTGTAGGTGAGTATTTCAAGATCTTCGCGAATATATAGTGTTAACGTCAGCTCAGTATAAGGAGGCGAACCAAGAATGAAGACGTGACACACCTCGCTCAGGATGTAGTCCAACTTTGTCGACACTGACGATCCGATCCTCACGTCCCCCACAACCGAATCCTTCAACAAACCCTGTATAGCGGAGGGACCTTGAGGAACCACTCCAGGCTGGAATGTCCTCGGGCGTGCATCGTCCTTCATCTCATCCATAGCATCTTCACTCATGAACTCTGCCATCTTCTGCTCCCTCGCAATCCTCAACTCCGTCTGCATCTCCTTGATCTTCTCGCTCGCCGCTACCTTCCTCGCCACCGCCACATCCTGCGTTTTTACCTGCACGGCCGTCGTCGACCCAGACACGATTGACCCCGCCTTCGCAGAAATTGGGCTGACATTTAAGCCCACACGACTGCCAGCGTCATCGTCCTTGTCATGGGTACCTTGTTTGGACTGCCCGTGCTGGTGAAGTCTCTTCTTCTGCGACGCCTTCAGGTTCAAAATCATGATCGTCCGAGCTTCTTCGACAGCTACTTCTAGACCTTCGATTGCGAGACGCTCATGTGAGATGAAAGGATGGTCGGTGACATATTTGAGGAGAAGGTGTAAGCGCTGAGAGGAAATGAGACCGTTAGCATTGATGGATGGTGGACGCAACCCCGCCTCAGCATGAAATGCAGGACCAGCACTCGAACCGGAGTGCTGCTTCAAGCCCACCCTATCGTCAAAGCTAGTGAGGGGACCAGATGTCGATTTTATGGTAGAGTTTGGCTGGTGCATGGTGCTAGATTCCCCGTCGTATAAGTATGCGCGGGAAGGACCAGGACTGCCTGGATGAAGGGTGACGGTAAGGGAGCGGACACCGGCACCCCTGGACCATGAGTCGAAGATAGCGCCGGGCATATTGTGTACGCGAAAAGGCATGGCTGCGAACGGGATGTTTTGGATTATCTTCCAGGTGTTGTCTTCCATAGCCAGCTTGCTGTTCGCCGTCGATCCCATAATGAGTTACATGCGATGAGGATCAGACAGATCCGGAAAAAGGACGAGACAGCGTAGTACATACATGTGTTTTGCACATTGATGCAGGAGCTCCATGTCTTCGGGTGGCCTATGACGTTCAGTCGCTACCCGGATGAAGTCAGGTATGCGCTTGTGAAGCTCTGAGAGGTTGTAAAGATCTTCGTCTACACGCCAGAACATAAGCCTGTGTATAATTCAGGTCAGTGGGAATCCGCTGTCTGCGACTTGGGGAATGGCGAACTGTGATATGTTCTCTACGAGCTGCGATAGGCGAGCGGTATTCTGTAGATAGGCCAATATAATCTGAGACTGCGGTTACATGTAGACTGTGATTGAACGTGGGCTTACTGAAGGATGGAAGAGGTAATCCTGGGCGAGCGAGTGAGCACAACGGAAACACAAAATATCCGGGTGACCATACCTGATCCACTCGCTCCGAATCCACAGCGTTAATGGCGATGATGACCTGGAAGGCATTATATGATTTGACCGCCAACGGGTCTAAGTCCAACAACACCGTCTCTTGCTTCAAGGGAGGCAATATCGCCTTTTCGTCCTTCTCGACGTCATCGATTCTAGATTAAACCGCTCATAAGTACGCTCTTCATAATTTGTTTTTGTTGCGAAGTTAAAGTTGGGTAGAGGATAGCAGCGCACCGATGCCGAATCATAACACTCCCCATGACCTGCTTCAGCACCTGCACCGCCCTCAACTGTGGCCCCATCTCGCCAAATAACGGGCTGACGACCGATTCGTTGAACAGTCTCGTTCCCTCCGGATTGGAGAACTCTTCAACTTTCAGGAAGCTCGTGATCATCTTCCCGAGCCTGCGCAAGCTTTCACGATCGTTTGGTGTCCATATCCTAGCCTTAGGAATATCGTCGTCCGAAATTGAAAGAGTGTGAATAGTCTCAGGCTGTGGCACTGGGTCCGGTGTTGATTCCGTGAAACCTTGTGAGATAGCAAAGTTGTCGATTTGCGGTAGAGGGAGATCGCCACGTTCATCTGCCTGCTCAGGGTCCAGAATATCTTCCGACGGATATCTCAGCTCTCCCATCTGCTCATCCTCACCACCCGCATTCGCACCATCATTCTCCTCCATATCAACATCAAGTTCGGTAGCCTCGCTCTGCGACCCAAAACTCAACCCCAATAAGTCCGCGGTCGGCGTCCCCGAAACAAGCCACCTCCTCTCAACACTCAGCAAACTCGCCAACTGACTCACGCGCGTTTTGTCGTCTCCGTGAATGTGGCCCTCGTCAACGATGAGCCTTTTCCAACGGACACTAAAGAGCGGTGAAACATTCGCGAGGATTTCGCACGCGCAGTTGGGTACACGCGTTGAGGGATGGCGAGGACATTGGCAGGTTTGGAAAGTGTGTAGAGGGGCGAGGTGGTCTGTGAGTTGAGATTTGGGGGCTTCTTTGGCGAAAGCTATGGAGTAGCCAGTCAACACAGATGCGATAAGGCAGTAACTGCACACTCAAGTACAAGCTAACTTACATTCTTGGCTCATGAGAATTACCTATGTGAGGGGGTCAGTGCGAGGTGTATTACACGAGCATAATATAGGGATACTCACATCATAATCATTCGCGAGCGTTCGCGCCGAAAGAAGCTTCATTCCAGGCCGTAAGACCAAAAATCTCCGTGTAGACTGTTCATAGCAATGCTTGTGTATCTCCAAATCCCATTGCGAAAGTAGGTTGGAGGGGACGATGATGAGAGTGGCGGAAGTAAGGTACATGACTCGAGGGGCCGATGGCACCCCCTTTCGCCGAGAACGAGGAGATGGGTTTACTGGTGGATCATTATAGTGGTGGTAAAATGGAATATTAGAAAGGAATGGAGGTAGTAGATGTGACGTGTTTCTATCGAGAAAGTCTTCGATTTCATCTCGAGTGAGGCCATGGGACGATGAGCGGAGGTAGCTCAACATCGTTTCGATGAGAGTGGGGAATGAGGACGAAGTTGTCGTTGAGATAAGGGTTGAACGCCGTCCTGGTGATGCTCTCGCACGAGCGACTGCGAATGTCGTTGACGGGTCATGACGGAAGGTGAAAGGAGTAAGGATAGAGCGTGCGGCGTGGAAGGACTCTTCGGGTTCCGATAATTGATCGAGAGTGACCATGATGAGACCAAGCATCATCACAGTCTTCCCCGTCCCTACAGCGAAAAAACATGGTGAGAAATCCTACCAATCTTGTCAGCTCGGATGAATTGCCTACCTAGTTCCTCGCACAGTATACCGCCGCGGTTTTGTGATACCATGGGACGTTCCCTCAGCATCTCCATAGTATCCGGCTGCATGTACAGCATCTTGCCATGGAATCCGACTACAGGGACGTATAATGGGTCCGGAATTGCTCGTGGTAGCAGCTCCTTCTCCAGCATAGCGGTGATGGACTCTCGTTGGTATGAGAGGAGTTCAGCGCGCATACCGTCTGGCGGGTCTCCAGAAACAAAGCTGTGGAGCCTACGATCGTAGGGACGTGCGTTTGCCATGCTGCTACCGAAATATGGGTCCAACTGAGGAGAAGGAAGGCCACTGAAGAGGTCGCTCAGTGTGGCGAAGCGGTCCTAGGAAAAATTACAGAACCTCAGCGGCTGCCTCGTTTTATAGAAGATAAAAGTTACCTGATCAAGGTCGAGAAAGATTTTCCCAGAGTTAGAGGAGGCCGCGTGAGTTCCAGCCCAGGTATACTGATCCTGAGTAATCCGAGGAAGCAGAGCCTTCATGTGGCGTCCTGCACGATCCAAAATCGCAGCATCTCTCGATCTCCGGCGAAGAATACCCTTGACATTGGGGAGGTCATAGGGTATAATATATATTCTCAGAAATACAGTACGTGCTGACGGTCCAATGCGGCAGGTCACGGTGAGAAACCTATGGAGGACGAGAAAATTGAGCTGGGAACACAGTTCCTGGTCCTGTGGGCGAGCTAGGTGACCGTTCGTGAAGGTATGGCCTTGAAACGGATGCCAACCGTCTTCAGAGTGTATATGATTACAAAGAGGTGCGTCGTATGCGAGCTCAAGAGCAATGCTTCCCGCAGGTAGAAGATGAGCGAGGCTGTAGGGATCTGTAGACGAGGCTGCCGGAGAACCGTTAGGACCTTGATGTTGACATGAGTCACAGCAAGAGGGGCAGGTTTCTATCGCCATGATTACAAAGTAGAGTGCTTTATCATATGCTGCCAATCATATGAGAAACCGAGCGAGATGCCAGATAGACCAGCCTCAGGAGTCAGGCAGGAGAGGGCCACAATGACGGTCAGAAGGAAGAAGTTCACCGCCACCGCACGAAAGTTTGTGCAGGGCGCTCGTATGACGTAAGCAACGGTGGCCTCCAGCTTGCACGCGATTTGGCCTGAAACCAAACCTCTTCGTGTGTAGGCACGATGGCCTCCTCCACTCTTCGTCTATACAGCGGGTCATTACGATGCTCGAATCGGCTATGCTCATCTGGCCTGAAGTCTAATGCTTTTCAAGTCGTGCCGCGACGCGCGAACTCGACAGTGCCTCAGTCTGCCAAAGAGTCCCTCTCGTGGCCGGAATATCTCAACATTCGCAAGAAGAAGCGAAGATGGGAGCTGGTCAGAATATATAACGACTGCCTCTTGACGATGGACTCAAGCTTTCTTGATACAGGCTCTCACAGGACCATGCATGCTGCTCGGCTTAGTTGGAGGTGCGGCGTACTTTGGTTCTCTGGAGATAGATCCGACGAAGCCAATATTTGTGCGTCCAAAAATCCCTCATCTTAATAATACTCCATCTAAGACTATCTTACGCAAGGGTATTGACCCTATGTTCGTGTACGGAGGTGCTACCGTAGGCTGCGTGGGTGCGTCACTATATGTCTTCCATCCTATGTCTTCTCCGTTAACAGACTAGCCACTTTTTGTTGTAGGTGTGGGATACCTCATGGGGCCGGTAGTTGGCTCATATTTCTGGAGAATGACCCACCGAAAGGCAATGAACCTCATCGAGATCAAGGACCGTGAGTTCCACAACCGCATCGTCAAAAACCGCGTAGACCCCTCCGTGCAAAGCCCGACCAACCCTCTCCCCGACTTCTACGGTGAATATTCTACCCAAATTATTTCACCGAAATTCTGCTAAGAGATACACACTCTAGGTGAAAAGATTGGGTCCCTCCACCAGTACAGACATGTAAGCACCTATTCTTCTCTGTCCTGGGAACATATACTCATCGTTTGACTCAGTGGCTGAGGGAGCAGACAAAATACAAGCGAAAGATGGAGTTCGAGGAGGATCACTGATCCCAATATTTCCATCCTTGTATCTCGCATTGCTTTCTTATACACATCATCGCTCTTCGCATTTCACTCTTTCGAGTCATCCATCTCCGGCCTTTTAACCTACTCTTCGTCCAAGCACGCAAAAGATCAACACATGCAGATTGTATGGATTGTTACAGCCCATTACAAACTGTATAAACACCTCGTACAAAGACGACTAGAACTGGTAAGGAAAGATAATTCTCAATGTCCATGGCCATAAGCGAAGGATAAAGTGGCCTGTTGGTCTCCTGGCTAGCAGCGCGACCGGGAACGAAGGGTCGAGCGCTACTAGCGCGCTCTAAGGCTTGGACGTCACTCAAGACGACTCGGTGTGGAAGGGAAAATAATGTGAGGGACTATCCTCCAAAGAACGGCAGTAATGAAGAATAAACATCGAACCAGAAAGAACGTAAGTAACTGGTAAACCAATAAATAGGCTGGATAGAGGGGTGATTAGGTGCTCCCACATGCCACGGTAAATATGTATCGTAAATAGGCGGCCTGGCTAGCCACCGAATCATCAGGCCTTCACCGTGAATCGAGACGAAGAGCGTCTTCCTGGACCATCAAGATGACGCCCAGTGATATTCTCACTTCTGCCTCGCCCCATGGAACGAGAACGTGCTGATCAACCTCGGAGGCGACAACACCTTCGGTCTTTCCTTCAAACAAAACCTCGGCATAACTCCCTTCTCCGCATCCTGCCTTCCCACCCTCTGCACTGAGCACCACCCGTCGCCATATTCCTCTAATAATCTCAACGTCTCGCCCACCTTCACGCGGATCTCGTCGTCTCTCGCGGGCGTGAAAGTTGTAGCGACGATCATGAGACGAGGGAGCTGCGATTCGGGGGCGAGGAGGTCAGAGAGTCTCAGACTTGGAGTGGACGGTTGACGACGTCCGTGACTGTCGCGGGCTGCGGTATTAGGCGAAGCGGTAAGACTGTCACGGCGGTCTGCAGAGACGGGATCTCGAGAGCTTGGAATCGGCGGGATGTCGAAGGTAGTAGGTGGGATGGAGATGTGTGTGATGGTAGAGCGGCTCATGGACCTTTTGTGCTTATGCTTGGTCATCGAGGTGGGCGGGGTGGGTGGTTGAGGTGGCATGGAGGGAAGGGACGACTCAGGAGGTGGAGGTGGAGGTGGCAGGGTTCGATAAATCGGAGGAGGGGTACCGTCTTCTTTGTTCGCCGATCTATTGGTGAAAGACGAATGGCTTGCATCAGGCTTGTGGGAGTAGCGAGTGGTAGTGACCTGCTTGACCGGTAACGGAGGCGAGACAAGCTCCTTATCTGCGGCCAGGGGAGGTGGTATATCCGAGGAGGAGACGCTACGAATCTGTGGCTGCCAACGAACGGAGGAGTCGGTGGGGATGATGGGAACAAGGACGGGCTGATGAGGCTTCGCATAGGCGGCCGCAGTGATCCAATTATCGCCTCCAAAAGCAAGTTGTTTATCTGAATAACCTTTCTCCATCGCAGAAGTGTCAACCTGGGAGGACGGGGAATGGCGACTCTTGCGACGGTTACGCCAAACTCGGATACGCCACGCAGAAAACACTAGACATCGATCCGCCGATGTCAGCAACCTGGCTTCAATCAAAATAAACATATGGCGCACTCACTTAGAAATACGACGGCAAGCAAAGCGAAGAAAACTGCCAGTCCCTTCGTGTAAGCAGGTGTGTGCGTGACGGGAGTCGGTGTAGATGTCGCTCCGCTAAGATCTGGAGCGAGACTTGGAGTCGGGCTTCCAGAGATGTTCTCGCGAGCGATGATAGGGGTTTCCCAGTTCAATAATCCACGTGCAGCAAAGACGGCCATCTCTGCAACACTCGCAGTGAGAGGAGGAGGGGAGGGAGGGGAGGAAAAGAAAGGACGCCTCAGAGGTCGAAGCAAGGAGAAACAAGGGGCCCGGGAAGGGTAAAGCCACGGACAACTACACTAGTTATGCGACCAGGTGGGACAGGTACTTAAGGTGAATGATACGGCGGGACGCCGCCATCTTGATGAAAGCAGCCAACAAAAGTTCAGATGGGATGTGCGCTCGAGCCTCGCCTGCCCCACCTGTTCCTGAGCCGGTATCAGGATTGCCGCTCGTCACAAGAGATTCGAAACACAATCAGATTCATGGATACTACACTTATCTGGAGATGTTGGAGTCGGTAGTGCTATCTTTTGAAAGGTCAATATTCAGTAGAAAACTCCAGCACTGGACAACGAGCAAACATGCTCACAAATATTTTCGAGCACATACCCACGTAAATTGCGGTCGACCAGCACGGCCAGCCTGCCGATTGGTTCACAGCCAACAGACGTTGATGTCTGATGCAGCCTCGGTCAAAGACTCCTGAACTGATGCGAGATCGTCCCGAAGTAGCCAGACGTGCAACACGGCCCTGTATGTAGATGATGGTCGCTATGGAAGATGTTTTGGGTGAAGTCGTTATTTTATCCTCCCCGTGCTGCAGCGCATGAATGAATCGACGAACAGCGGGGAACATCCGTTAGCATTGGCCCGCAACACCCGCACGATGCATTCTCCGCCACCCTCTTACCGTCACATCAGCGCATCATTGACGTAGTTTCATGAGTCGCATTCTCATCCAACGCGAGAGCTGAAAGGCCTAGGGGTGATCGTGCTAAGTGTTGTGTAGCGCTCCAGAGATGGTAACTGAAATGCTACCGGTTGTGACTGCTGTTCGCGTACATTTGTACGGTCAAAGATAATAACACCATCGCCAACACCAAGCGACGATGGACATGTTCTAGGTATCGTTGAGCGAAGATCCGCCTGGTAAACAAGAACGGAAACTGTGTCACAGATGCAAATACATCAAAAGTCGAAACGAATTGGAACCCGGCGGTCAGATCGCTTGGAGACAAGACCAACCGCGAGGAGGAATTATGGCGGAACCGGGGCGTTGAGGTCGTAAGGAAACCTGAGACGATTATAAGAGTAAACAAGAGGCTCATAAGAGTAAATAAGATCTCCGCCAATAAAGGAATATAAAATAGCGACTGTGGTGGCAAGATGAGTGGCGCAAGATGGATGATGTTAAATGCCCTGCGCAAGATGAAAACAAGATGTGATGAGGGGGATGAGATGATTAGTTATCTTCATTACTGTCCTTGATACGCTTCCGCTTTACATCTATGTTCTTCGCATCTTCCTTTCCTAGGAATCATGGGCCAATCAGAGGGAGCTATGAGCTTCAAGGTATGCACAAGCCTGAGCTCACCTTTCCTATAGGCTTTATATCCAGCCGCATCCTTGATATTGACCCCAGCTGTAGGTCTTCCAGTCTTCAACTTCATTGGTTTCCCGTGTTTGTCTTTTTGCGACTCAAGGAACTGATCCGCAATCCGGCCAGCATCGTTTCGAAACTGGATGAGCTGGCCTTCGCTTTGCCACGACGCTTCAGGTTCGACTGGCTCTGGCTTCACGGGCGTCGGTTCTTTCCTATCGTCCTCAGACGAAGAAAGTTGTGGCTTGATCACCTCGTCGTCAATGGGTTCCGGCTTGACTTTCACTTTTGGCTCTGCGCTCTCGAGGTCGAGCAAGTCGTCGACGTCATCGCCCTCTACGAAATCGGCATCGCGCTCGTGTGAATAACCCTCTCCGAATCCATTACCGACATCGTTTTCAGAATCGTCGTCTGATTCCATGCCCGCGCCGTTTGAGAAGTTGAAACGTTCTTCGTCGAATAAGCGGGTGGAGAAGTCGGGCAATGGCCTCGTTGATGTGGGCCTATGTGGTTCGTCCTCGTCCGGGACTTCCTCTACCTTGACGCCAGGTTTGTCACCTTTGACGTCCTCCTCCTCCTCCTCCTCCTCCTCCATCTCTTTGTCCCGAAGAATCGGCTTGATATCTTCTGGCTCCGGTTTGACTTTGGAGTCTTCGTGGTCGGGGAGATTGGGACCTTCAAGACGTGTCAATTCGGTCTTTCTAGTTTCAGCCTCTTCGCGCTTCGCACTCGCTAGGCGCTCGACCTCAGCAGCAATAGCTTTTTGTTCTTCTTCCTTGCGTTCGCGGCGAGCCATGCTCATCAAGCCGTCAGCTACGCCATGACAGTAGTTACTGATAAGGCTCGTCAAAAATGGCATCGAAGCGACAAGCAGTATAAGACACTTACTTCTTGCCATTGCGACCCTTGGCCTCTGTGTTCTGAGCGCTCCAGGTAAGAATCTGACAGTGTACATGAGCACATACTCGTCGCTAGAATTGGAACTGCTGCTGACCAAGTTGTGGCACATCTCGAATGCAGTGGCAGCTGCGACGGTTTGCTCTGCGAGCCCGTAGAATGTCCAGGTTATGCGCGATTTATCGCCCCATGTAGTACTGTAGTATTTGCAGTCAAAGAAGATTGTCATCGCGTACGCCAAGTGTGCTGTCCACGACGAGAAGAGGACGCTTTTGGAAGGTAGGTCGGGGTTGCTCGTAATGGTGACCACAGATTGTCCAGCGCTATACAGACGAAAGATATGATCTATTGGAGCCTGCAAGGCAATAATTACCAAAGACGCGTACCGTTTGAGTTTCTGGGCATCGCTTTCTGCCGCCAGAACATCTGCTTGAGAAATATTATGCATCTGAAGCGCGAAGGGTCAGTAAAAAACACATTCAAAGACACCTGGCTGTATACCTGCATATACTTTGTTGCCATGCTAAAAAGGTGCCCATAAGTCATAGACGTCTACCAGGTTACGGTGGAAACACTCACCGAAGAGCTGCTCTAGCTTCGGCCTCTCCCGTTCCTTCATGGTTTGCAAGCGCCAGAGCTTTCTTGATGCGTTCAACTATCGCTTTGTCGGCCTTCTCTACTACAAGCAAGAAACCGTTAGACAAACATGAGAAAAATGAGAAAAATGACAACACACATCTCTCTCTCGCGAGCTCTCCCTGCGTTGCTTCCGCCGTCTCAAGTGCATCGGTAGCCAACACCGTGACCTTCGCGACGACGGGAATGACGACCTCCTTTTTCTGCTTCTTCCTAGAGACAGCGGGTGCCTTGGCTTTGCCTTTCGTATTAGTTCTACGCTTTCTCGAGCTACTACCTGTGGGCGCGTAATCGTCCTCCGACATGGGCTCCTCCCAATCAGACTCGTCTTCAGAGTACGCGTCTGAATCATAGATACCGTCGTCATCATCGTACGCCATACTATGATAGAGGACCGAGGTTCTTTTACGATTACGACCGCCTGGAGATCGTCACTGGTCTTGACGAGCTCTGCGTGGATGGTGAATTCAAAAGACGAAGGTCCGTCGTGACGCGGTGTCAATCGCTGGGAGTTGCCGGCAGCCAACCTTGACGCGGTCACGTTACCCCTTGACGCGTGAACATGAGTGGCGAATGTGTGGCGGTCCGCGGACGCTTCGCACAGTCTGATGAGAAGTCAAACTTGAAGAAGACATTGGTGACGATCGACTTCAACATAGTGTTCATGAAAGACATATGTAAGTAACTGTAGGACCCACACGTCTCTAGCGCGAGACCTGAAGGAATTGGTCAAGAAAAACATCGTTCGGAACATCAACAGGTGCTCCGCACGGCGGCAAGGGACCTTACTTGAGCACTAAATTTCGTCAGGTCTCTGTGATCTCTCCCCAATTTCTTGCCTCGTCCGGGTGAGAGACTAGAACAAACGACCTGTATCAGACCTTGGACCAAATAGGCGGAGTGCAGAAATATAACTGACCTATATCGTCCACATCGAATCGATACGAGATCATGACCCACTTTTGCATCTTCATCTTCCTGATCCTCTTCTTACTCATTCTCCACCTGACGACTCCGTCCTTTATGCTAAAGCTCTCTACGGATGTCAAGACGAACAATTCCCCTTGTCCTGTGAGTTTTTTTCCCTCGATGATTTGGGTAAGGTTTGACAGGAGGTATCTTGGTGCGAAGGATCCGGGCTTATAAAAAATGAGTGACACGACGGGAACGTGCGGTGGCAGCATATTCATGGATGTCGCTGGGTCGAGTACGTGTTGTGAAAGGGTTGTTTCGAACAACCCAATCTCTGAGTATGATTTCGAAAAACCAGGTGGACCGCAAAATGCGAATGGAAGAGATTCGTATGACATCGCCAGTATGTTCTCGAGGTCTGCGAGCCAAGGCTCCAAGCAAACCTTCCTCCTTGTTACACGCCTGTAGATTTCAGCGACTGGAATCGGAAGTTTGCCGAGATATGGTGCGATATCCGTCGTTAATGAGTCGGAGATTACCGATTGAAGGAAGTCAGCCAGCCAGTGGGCTGGAAAGCCGACCCTATATAGATGGACGAGTAGTTCAATGAACGCAACGAGATTATTCGGGTAGCGAACGGAGGTGATGTGTGCGTTTCCTTTCCCGGGAATGATGATGGCAAAAAAGACACGAGTCAGCCAGGAGACGAGCTCGTTACGAGAGGCAAGCTCATGGAGGGGTCGGGGGAGTGGATTGGGAGCTAGATTGATGATGTCCCAAGCCGGCGACATCCTGAGCACGCGGCAACCTAGGTACCGTGGAACATCTTGAACTCTCACGAGCATGTACCTGGAGGAAATATACTTAATGAGTGACGCCGTTGATACAGATGTAGGTAGATCCTTACGTGGCGGAGAACTCGTCGTCATCTCTCCAGATTGGTGTGTTGAGAAGACAGTTCGCAGCGACAGAGCAGTCTGGCTCAGGCTGTAGGCCAGGAGCAACATACACCGCCATATTTAACGGTCCATGTGTGTAATCCCTAACAAGATGGTTAGTTAGCGCCGGGAACATTAAAAAAACCCAACTTACGGCACGTTGCTCAACCACATCCTTGTGAACGTCTTTGGAAAATGAGCTGGTCGGTGCTGATCTCCCGACGTTCTCATTTTCAAGACTTCCAGATTAAGCTCACCACAAAGGATCTCCAACTGAATATGATCCTTGAGGATCTTCAGACCGTCCGAGACGGCATCGAAGAAAGCGCATGTGATCGTATATGAGGGACAGTCCTGTGCGACCTTGCTCGAGATGTCCATCGGCAGGTGCATGCGGTCGTTGAAGTCATAAAGTGCTTCGATGGGGTCGAAACCGCTGTTATGCATTTCAGGATAACCGGTGCCGCGGTCGTGGAACGAATCCTTCGAACAAGAGGGACATAAGAAGATTTCGGACGAATCGTAACAAAAGCACCTACGAAGAGGGACGGGTTTGGTTTCCAGGTCTTGCGAACCTCCGAATGAGCCTGTCCAGAAAGGTGACATGAGACTAAATGTTGTACAAAGAACAGGAGCCACAAACCTCGGCCTTAAGGCCGTCCAGAGCAGGAGCCTGTGCCTTTGGTCTCCCGGCCTTCCGATCTCGACTTACTTCCCAAGCTTTTGCCATGAGAGGATGCCTCTTGCGGAGCTCGGGTGGCGGTATGAACGCCCTCGCCGTCTTGTAAAAGTGCTTCTCCCACAGAGTGGCTCCGGAATCCTGCATACCATGTTGATCCTGCACCTCACCCATAGCCTCTGCCAGCAGCTTCCTCGTGCTCTTGATGAACTCAGCCCTCGCTGCAGGATCGGTAGGGACGGTAGGGAACGTCCCATCAGCATTCATCATCCTAGTTCCGTATCGTATGATCTCTTCATCGCTTTGCTGGTCAATCATAGACTGAATAGCACCAGCTTGCCCACTAAACGGGTCATGACCCCCATACGCAGTGAAACCACCGGAAGCAGCTTGTGCTTTCATGCGAGCAAGAGTGGTTTGATAAATTGCGTCGTCGTGATGGTCTAGCATACGTTTCGTGGTCTTTCGGGGAGACTCGTTGATCCAATAGTCTAGGGACTTGATAATATCGGGAATAGAGGCGGAAACAACGTGAATCCAGGATGGAATAGCGGGAGACCCGGACGTAAGCCTCTGGCGCAGGTCTTTCACGACGTTCATGAACCTGTGAACCACCGTCAATGTCAACACAAATGGCGAGAACAATGTCGTAGACTTACCGATCGAAGCAATACGATGGGACAAGGATAGCGGTATAGACGTAGAAGAGTGTGGCCTTGATCTCCGCCTGCTCTTCCGCACCATGTTCGTTGCTCAGGCTATCCAAGAGGATGAGAATACATAAGTCACGAGCAAGAGCGGTCGGGTGTATGTCTAAAAAAGTCATGTGGACATTGAAGTCGGATTTCTTATGTTTCGGAAGTTGGGTAAAAGCCTTTTTGAGGCCAATGATGGACCCAAAGACGTGACGACCTAGGGGAAAATGTCATGAACTGACTTGTCCAGCACGGCAGGACAACTACGGGGAATACGGACCATCACCAACTCCCCCAAACAGGAATGCGAGCTTAGAGAGTCGCTCTGCGGAAAAGGACTGGATCCTCAACGGAGAGGGATTCTGATGCTGCGACCCGTAATCGTCGATTATTGACATGGGATAGTCGTGAGATATCTTTGAGGCCAGGAAACGCGTACCCAGGTGAGCGTAAGAATCGACTACTCACTAACGCACTTACAGAATAGTACTCCAACAGAGCTTCTCTGTACCAAGCATAATTATAAAACATGATAGCCACACAATCCAAGAGAATACGTACGGAGATGCTTTATATATGGGCAGACGAGCCAGACGAGCACGAGCATCGTATGAACCCTCGGCTACTCTATCCATCTCATTCTCTGTCTCCTCCCATTCATCCCAGGCCTTCGACACATCTTCGTCCTTGACCTCGGCGCGGAGTTTCGCCAGATCTTCGAGGATAGCGATAGCGTCGGCGGAACGTAGGTAGTCCTGTGAAAGAGTATTGCACCGGATCCCATAGCGTAGTGCCCTGGCTATCCGGATTGAAAGACGGTTAACAAGAGAAATGTTGCGGTCATTCTGGGAGAGTAGGAGTTTGAGGGATCGAAGGGCGGCGAGGAAGCATGCCGCGTAGTCGCCGGCTTCGTAAAGTGCAGCGCTCAGGTTTGAAGAGTAGACCGGGTCAGTGGGTTCTTGTTTCTCAGCCTATGGAAAGAAGGAATCATGATGAAAATTTCACACTATCCGATGGCTTGAACGAAGAAGGATTAGACGACGCGAGTACGGGCAGGAGCCGCATACAGGTGCTGGTAGCGAGGGTTTGCCTGAGGGATGTTCTCATGCGTACATTCGGATTTCTGTACCGAAGAAATCACAGAAATAGCCATTGATGTCAAACTCACCTTCGCGTACAGCTCCGATGCTCTAGAAGATAATAAGAGGAGATAATCAGTACGTTGCACCCTATTTGTTTTTTTGCGGAAGCGCACCCTAAGGCAAAGATGCGAAACTCACTCGACAAAGCGTCCACCTTTAAAGAGGGCATTTCCTTGCTCCTTTAGCTCAGGTGCCCCCATTGCCTAGTAGAATGGCTGCAGAATACAGGAGTGGTCAGAAAGCAGCAGACAGAAGAGGTGCTTATCGCGACAGGTCGCGTCGGACGCGAGAATATTTTCGGCGCGCGATGTCGGCAAATACCGTGGCAATTTGTGGCACCCGTGTGGCCCTCAATGTCAATGCTGCTGGTGGCATCTCACAGAGACAAGTGAGCTATTCGGACCTCACAGGTTCATGTTCTGTCACAGAATACACTGATTTGCATATATTAGTGACTGTCAAGAGCCTATGAAGTGTGGGCGACGGTTATCAGCGGAGGTTCGGCAACTCGGGCTATGACGCGATCACATGACCGTGCGCTGAGGGCTAGCACAATGGAAAGGACCGATAAGGAAGGTCGGATGTTCAAAGTCCACGAGTCTCCTCAATCCAACCCACAGCATCTCTTCTCTTCACATCTCTACCATTCCGACGCGAAAACCCTCTTCGGTAAACAAGAACAGGAACCTGTTGCCTTGGTAAGTTTCGGCGATCGTGAAGATTATACACAAAGCTGGCTGAACTGACCTGTACCCACCCTTTCCGATTCAACTCGACAAACGCGTACATCCAAAGAGACGATCAGAGGTATTGACCATGTATAAAACAACGACATCTTTCATACGAGGGATGCTGCCATTCAGCGGGGCGTACGAGCGACGCGGACTGTTGACGGGAGGACGTGATACCAATAATACCAGGAATCGGGTGGGATCGACGCTAACAGATACCATGGTAAGTCTTCATCCTCTTTCACACCCACCGTTTCCCATACCTTCCCACTTCGGATCTCTCGATCATCCAAGATCCTTATACGTGTATGACATCGTAGCCCATATTGAACCCCACCGATGTTCGCGTGTCAGCGCACGCCAGCAGCATCAACGCGCCATCTAGCGGATCGAGCGACGGCGTACCTTCGAGTAACTCCCGTACTTCAACCTCCACCGATTCTACGACGTCGTCTGCGGCCTCGTCTTGGGATTTCGTAGACGTCCCCGATATCGCGTGGCCAGAGGATTCGTTCGCATTTTGTCTTGACCCTAGTGTTGTTTCTGCTCAGACCACTCAGAGTTCCATCGGCTATGGCCTAAATCTAGAGATGGGCGAAATAGGGTGGATTGGGGGTTCTTATGGTTCAAACAGCGAAATGGTGAGCCCACAATCCTATACGAAATGGAGAGCAGTTTGATGACTGTTACCATCCAGCGACTTCCTCTCGCGTTTGAATCGTTCACCGCCCAGAATAATCTCATAAGCCAGCGTGGTCAAATGAACACCTTGGTGCAACAACCACCCACATACAGGCCGCCAACGGTATACCCCTGGGGTCCCGACAATACGTCCACTAGCTCGAATGCTCCTGCCTGGGCAGTCGTTCAACGCCCGCAACGCCAGATTTATCAGGCCCCTATGGAGCTGGACACATTTGAGCGATGGGAATTGGAGAAGAATATTTGGGCCCCACGGGCACATAAAGCGAGAGGGGGGCCAGTAGTCTCGATTCTCGAAGAGGCCGTGCAAACTGCCATTGACGACAATACGGCCCGCGATGGCGTCGAGTGCACCGGGGCCAAGGAACCCGTCTGCGAAACCTTCACTCCGGCGGACGTACTTCCCCTTGACCATCCGTTGGATTTTCGATTTGCGAGCCTGGCTATCGACTCGTTCCCCGACTATACGCGGAGCGAACTTACACCTCGACTAAATCACCGCACTGACACAGCCGTGACAACGCGTCAGGCTTGCGCTGGATGGGGCGCTTTCAGTTCAAGGTGATGGTTCGCTGAGGACAAGCCGGGTACGACGTGATGACCAGGCCGTTTGTAAAAGGACGTAGACTCTCAGGCTTACTTCTGCTCTCCCTATTGCCGTGGGCAACGTCCTCAACCCCAAGTCGACTCCAGTCACCCTCCCGCATCGCCACTCCGATCAACTCACGCACCTTAGTGCCCTTTCGTCTTTGCTGTAGTTGCATTTTCCGCCCAAGCTGTCCTAACTGTTCGCAATGTTGTTGTTCTCTGCTATCTACCTGCTGTTGAAATGTATTTGTTCTGTTGATGAATTCTGGACGATGTCGGTGCAAAAGTAAATGAATTTGGCGTACCGACGACATAACATCTGTGTATGAAAAAAAAGGGAATCGGTACTACATGGGTATCCCTGGATCTAACGGCGATGGTCAGAATGCTGGCCCAATGCCTCTGGAGGTAAAGTAACGAATATATTGGAGTAGAAGGTTTGTTTGAGATGGCAACCGAGCGCCAGAGCAGCGCCGCCAGAGAGCGCCAGAGTGGTTCCGTCGAGCGCGTGGCGAAAACGTGCTATGAACCCGCTCCGAGATTCTCACCGCGGATAGCCTTTCAACTCAGCCCACCACCACAAACCACTGAGACAACAAATGGCATATATCTTCGCCTCAAATTCTACACTGCTCTGCCGGGTCATTTTCTCTGATACATAAGTCTCACTTATGCCCTGGGCTGGAACTTGTTGACCTGACGTTTCTCGCGCATCTGAATCTTCGGCGGAGTGTAGCCTACTGGGGAAATTTCCAGGGCGACATCAGCATTGCAGCATCCATGAAAACTCTCACAAACACGGCTTTGGAAGGCCGGGTTTCTTTCAATTCAGTATTGACAGGTTTTTGTTATGGTCACTTACGTTGCATCATGAGTCGTATCGGAGAGCGTTTGCAAGGTGGTGATGCGGGAAGTCAGCGGCCTCCAGGTTCAAGTTTGACGGGGAAGATTGCAATGATTATGGCACCTCCCACTGCATTCTATGGGGGTATACAAGGTCGTACATTGACAGACGGTCGTGCTCCTAGCCTTCACCCGTTTTTCGCTCCACTCCAATCCTAACACTTTTGGCACACTATTTGTGGGCGAACACGACACGGTGACGAAGTTTTCGGACGTCTCAGATTTCCATCCACATTGATTTTGACATTCATCGAGAAAGGTACGTCTTGATCTTCTCATATATTCCCTCGCCGAGTAGCTCTGATTCGCAAGGTAGACATGCAGAACATTTACCTCCCTCCAGAAATCCTCTCCGACATCTTTTCCGAATTACTCAGAGTCGAATATGGCGATAGCCTTTCGCTTCTTCATCCCTCACGACCCCCACTCTCCTTGGAATGCGTTTGCAAGCAATGGCGAGACGTAGTGGGTTCGACGCCACAATTGTGGTCCCGTCTCCGGTTCCCTCCATTGCCCCCTGGAGATGCCCAAGGCCAGCGCTTTCCCATATTCTTGTCCCAGCTAGAGAGATCGCTCGACCGCTCAGGCGCACTTCCACTAGACTTGTCGATTTACGCCATATCGTTCACGGAACACATCGAACCGCAACGCTTCGATACCGCCAATATCAATGCATTCTACGACAGATTTTGTCGCCATAGACATCGTTGGCGGACGCTCGTCCTCACTATTCATCAGCACGACTCGTTCCCCAACCTCGAAGCGACCTCACTTCCTCTACTCGAATCCCTGGATATTCACACCGAGCCCACTGGAGCCACGGCACACCTCGATGTTCTTCCACGGGCATCAATCACGGCACCACGCCTTCGAACAGTGAGCCTCGAGGCCGACGACCTCGGTCGTTGGGCCCTCCCATGGTCGCAGTTAACGCAACTATGCCTCAATAATCGCTCATGGATCGACCTCCCCGACCATCACACTCTCACACTTCCTGCCTTTCGAACGATCCTCATAGAATGCTCAGGTCTGCGGACCCTGACTTTAGCGCTCACGTTTGCGGACAGCTTCGTACGCTGGCGCGACGGGGACGTAGTCGTCTTACCCGAACTAGAGACATTGCATTTGGATGCCGTGTCTTCCACCATGCTGAATGTGCTCCTTCGCCATATCTCTGCACCCAGACTACGCGTCCTAGACATTCGACCTTGCGAAAATTTCTGGTGGAATCCCTCCGCTCTTTCGTCCCTTCGCGACTCCGTCAAGCGACATGCCCGGACTCTCGAGGTACTCCGTCTCCCTCGGCTAGGAATCGAAGAGCAGACCCATCATATTTTTCATTTGCATTCTATCATCGCGGACGCCAGCCATCTACGAATACTCGAATGTCACGTATCGGATATCACGGCGACCACCCTTCGGGCGCTCGTGCTACATTTTGCTCCCTCCGACGAGCTGGAATCTGGACAGAATCCTATGTTGGTGGAGATGTGTGTTCGAGGCGATGTCATCCCCGATCCTTCAAATTCCACGATCGACTCCTTCATGCGATTGCTCCTGGACGTTATCGAGTCACGGCGGTGGTTGCCTGAAATTGCCTTCGACGCCAGTGGTATTTCAGTCGGGCGTGTAACTACAGTCGATCTAGGGCTTTTCGAGCGATGGTTTGAGGAGGCGGCAGGGCATGCGGAGATAGAGATGGATGAGACGATTCGAGCGAGAGTGCGTGCGTTGAAGGAGGATGGGTTCATTTTCGGTTAACAGGACCGTGTACTCGCAATGGTGCACCGGTCACAATACATGACATTATACGAGCCCGAGCTTGTTGTGTTGACGGAACCTGTAGGAACACTCTCAGGCCGATGCAAACGTGAAGCCACACGGAACGCCTGGTTCATCTTGATGATCGGGCCTCTTCGTCGCTGGGAGTGCACGACAACGGTATGACATCGATTGCTAGTGGGGAATACGAACGTAGTTATCAACGTATGGTACTCAAACGACTTCAAGTGGAATGGGTGGTGACAGACACCAGGGTGGACGGCCCGCATCAAGCTTGCCGGAGTGAGAATTATCGGATACAGAATCGCGAAAGATAAAAGGAGGGCCGACGGTGCAAACGACAAAAGAAAGAACCGAGTGAAATAGAAGTCTCGTCCTCTCCTGATATGCAGGAAAATTTAGAGAGACGCTCCCTCACGTATGGGCCTGGCCGGGAATTGAACCCGGGACCTCCTCCAAACGAGCCCAAAGCACCCTAAGAAGGAATCATACTACTAGACCACCAGGCCGATATGAGGGATAGCTTATGAGCACTCACAATCGGCCAGGCGAACATCCATACTGTTTTGAAATGTAACCCCTCAGGAGAGAACTGTTGATCCATCTCAGTATGATACGAGGTGCTGCTGGTACTGATTGATGATTCCCAAGTAAATACGATTGGCTCAGACACCGACATAATCCGTGGACGCACTTGGCGTCAAGATGAAGCGAGGTATGCCGTCGTCCAATGGACGGCGATGGTTGTCGGATGGATACGGACGAAGACGCTCAACGCACAGGTATGCCCAACATGACGTGGCGTTGCAGCAAATAGGCATGTCTGCGTACGTTCGTCTACAAAGCGAGAGGCTGTTTTCCAGCGCGGACAGTGTGAGCAAGAGTCAAGGCGCTTGAGTCCAGAAAGGATCCGGGACGGAGGCAACGATTGGATCGGGTAAATAAGATGAAAGACGTAAAGCCGAGATTGTGTGAAACGTCTAGATTAGAGCAAGTGAAGAGCCTGGAGAATGTCTGGGACAGCGAGCTGAAGGGCGCCGGGGCCGCCGCTGACGACGAGGAGCAGACATGGCCGGGAAGAGCGGGCGGGTTGTGGCTTGGGCGGCTGTGTAAGGATGGAAGTGGATCGGGGGCGGATGATGTACGTCGGCTTACGCAGGGGATGTGCCGAGGACTAGCAGGCCGGGATGTATCAGCGGCCGTCCCTGTTTGATGTCCTCCAGGCTCACACTCACCCCGCCTCCTTCCCACAGACCCTCATCTCCATCTTCATCATCGCCGTCCTCGTCGCCACTGACAGCGACAAGCGATAGCCTCAGACCACAGAGGCGATGGCGACCGCCGCAAAACGCTCCGACTTCATGGGCTGGTACAACAAACTGACCGACTGGAGCGTCGAGGACCTTTTCGCCCGCCAACGCGCTCCTGGGCCCCCTCGCTCCATCTTCGTTAACGAACCCCTGCCGGACGACTATTACGACAAGAAACACAGGGTGCTCAAGCAGCACAAGTACACTACGAATCAGGTCATCACGTCCAAGTACACAATCATCACGTTTCTCCCGAGGAACTTGCTCGAGCAGTTTAGGAGGGTCGCCAACATGTGCGTACACTTTTTTTCTTCCCATGCTTTACCTCTTGGTTTCGGTTCGGAGACATGCGCTCGTGCGGGGGAACAACTCTGGTTTTCAGCGACTAGAGAAAGTGTACGGTTCATGAACGCGTGAGGTCATCGCTTCCTCTTCGATCTACTACCAGCAATGGTCTTCCTCAAGCGTGCTAGTTCATCATGCCCCCGGAAATAGCGCACCCTGGGACTCTGTGTACTCTCAACTCGGCCGTATCTTGCGAGAGACAGATTCAAATGTTGGTTTTGCGAGCATGCTCTTCGAACCCTCGTCTGCGCCACATCAGCTCCGCGACCCTCGCCCCGATTGCTGTGCTTCCGCTGACTAGGGGCAGGCGGTTTTTACGCCGTCTTAGCCCTGATTCATGGCAAGAGAGGAGCTACTCTTGGAAAGAACGCCTGCTCAGAGTTTGATTTCCAAACATATGATCGCAGAAACGTTCTCAGAATCAGCAGGCGTAGAGGCATATCGGATCTCCCAGAGGAGGCGAATGTCATATACATCAAATTGTTCGCTGACTACCAAGAGTTACTTGGGCGCGAGTGATGAAGGTCTCTCTGACACATCTACCCGACGTCCGGCGACGAGTATCTATTTCACATAGTAATGTGCTCGCGCACAGCGCCGATACCCTTGAGTGCATCGAGAGTGTCAAGAGTGACGGTTACATGTTGGATACGTGTTGTTCGGAATACTTTGGGAACTTTGTAGGGCTTTGATCACAGAATAGGGGTTTTCCAAATGTCACCGTGTGACAAAGTTCTTTTTCGCATCTAATTTTTGATTGCTCGCATTTGTTTGACACTGCGTGACTTTTGCTGACCAAACATATCTTCACAGCTTCTTCCTCGCCATTGCCATCCTCCAGTTCTTCAACAAATTCAACACCATCTCCCCTGGTCTCGTCATCCTCCCTTTGCTCGTCGTCTGGGGTATCACCGCGCTCAAAGATGGCTACGAAGACATCAAACGGCATCAATCTGACCGTCGCGTCAACTACTCCGAGATCAGCGTTCTCGAAGGCGGTGGCTGGGAGAACCCGAACAAGATGTCCTCGAAATCCAAGACGTTCGTCCGTGGCTTGCCTAGACCTCTCCGTCGTCGAAAGCGCAAGATGGTGAAGAAGGGAGATGGAAGGGATGCCGATGCGGAAATGGCTGCTCACGGAGCTCCACCTGAGGCGGTGTCGAGCGGTGTCGAATATGTTACCTCTGACGAACCAGACGTCGAATACGACAACGCTGGAGTACCTTCCGACGCCGCGCACTGGAAGGTGAAGACCTGGGAGGATTTGAGGGTCGGTGACATCGTGAAAGTTAGGGATGGACAGGCAATACCGGCTGATATCATGATCTGCGCCACGAGCGAGGACGAGAACGTCGCGTTCGTGGAGACGAAGAACCTCGATGGAGAGACGAACCTCAAGTCAAGGAACGCGGTCTCGGTGCTCACCCACATGCGAACGGCGGCGGACTGCGCGAACCCGAGCAACGCTTTCGAGATCGATTGCGACAGGCCCGAACCGTTCATGCACAAGCTCAACGCGGCGGTCGTCATCGGTGACGAACGTTCCTCGGTCGAACTCCAGAACACGATGCTGCGTGGGACGGTGCTCAAGAACACGGCGTGGGTCATCGGCATCGTGATGTACACCGGCTTGGACACAAAGCTCGTCTTGAACTCGGGTGGGACGCCGAGTAAGAGGAGTAAGGTCGAGAGACAGATGAACCCTATGGTGTTCGCGAACTTGATCCTCTTGGCGGTCATGGCTATTGCCTGTGCGATCGTGGACTCAGTGTTGGAGAAGCATTATTTTCCGAGGCTGGCGCCGTGGTTGTTCTCGGACGACCACTCGGACGATAATCCTTCGATCAATGGATTGGTGACCTTTGCGTTCGCATTGATCACGTATGTCTTTTTTCACTTCTCGATCGGTATATGGGTCCCTGATGAACACCCTCTTGGCCTACAGCTTCCAAAACATCGTCCCCATCTCGCTCTACATCTCCATCGAGGTCGTCCGGACATGTCAAGCCGCCTTCATCTACTTCGACAGAGAAATCTACTACGAAAAGACAGACCAGGCCACGCTCGCTCGCAGCTGGAACTTGTCCGACGACCTCGGTCAGATCGAATACATCTTCTCCGACAAGACAGGCACCCTCACCCAGAACGCCATGGTCTTCCGTCGATGCTCAGTCGGCGGTATAGCGTACAACGGCCGCGACGGCGAGGAAGGCACCGTGTCCGATCAGGCCACACTTCCAGCTGAGCCAAACCCACACTCTATGGACACGACCGTTCGGGTATCGGAACACTCGTCCCCGGACTCTCTCCCTCTCAAGCCGTTCAGCTCCGCCTCGCTCACCAAGGCCAAGGCCACGCCTAACCCTCTCCACGCCCACCGTGTCAAGCTCTCTGGGGGCGTCCTGCAGCACTACCGCGACCCGGCGCTCTCGAACGACGTCGCTTCTGCGTTGGCTTCTGGAGATAGATCTGAGCGTGACAGGCTGAACGGGTTCTTCTCCACGCTTGCGCTCTGCCATACCGTCCTTGCCGGCGTGGACACCAAGACGGGAGAGCTGGAGTACAAGGCACAGAGTCCGGATGAGGCCGCGCTCGTACAGGCTGCGGCGGATGTCGGGTGGGAGTTCAGAGGGAGGGATAAGGACGTGTTGTTCTTGAAGACGCCGTTCGAGCAGGGGTTCATCAGGTTTAGGTTATTGAATATCTTGGAGTTCACGAGCGCGAGGAAGAGGATGAGTGTCATTCTGAGGAGACTGCCCGGGACCATCGGCCGCGATTCAGCCGAAGTCGACGCGGACAGCATCACTGTGGACAATGAGAAGGAGAGGGAGGACGGGCCGTTGCTTTTGCTCAGTAAAGGCGCCGACAACGTTATTTTCGAACGACTCGTGCCCGACGCTCAACAGTCGCTCCGCGAGACCACCGAGGCTCAACTGGACGAGTTTGCAAGATCTGGACTGAGGACGCTCACGCTCGCGTGGAAGACGGTGCCGGAGGAGGAGTATAAGGCTTGGGCGAAGCGGTATCAGACCGCGACGGCGGCGATTGATGATAGGGAGGGGCAGATTGAGAGCGTGAGCGATGAGATTGAAGGAGGGTTGACGTTGCTCGGAGCTACGGCGATTGAGGACAGGTTGCAGGATGGGGTGCCGGAGACGATTGCGGATTTGAAGAGGGCGGGGATTAAGATTTGGGTGGCGACGGGGGATAAACTCGAGACTGCTGTCGGTGAGTGGTTGATCTCATTTTCGGCCTTGTCCTGCTATTTGACTGTTTGCTGACTTGGCGCAACGATGATATCAGCTATCGGCCACAGTACGAACCTGATCGCGGACGACTCGAACATCATCATCATTCGTGGCCGAGGCGACGAAGGACGGTCTATCTACGCTCAGATGCTCTACGCTGCAGACGAATACTTCCCGACCTCTGGTATCCTCGAGGACCCGAACGTCGACGCGGAAGAGGTCGGTGGCGGAAACGGTAATGCGAGCGGAAGGCCTTCTTTGTCGAGGAGGAGGTCTTCACATCGTTATTCGGGGGCGTTCCAACTTCATAGGGTCAATACGGGTATGAGCTCCGTCGTCGGTTCGAATAATGGACAGAGGCCTGGTGGTTATGTCCTCGTTATTGATGGTTTGGCTCTTACGGATGTGCGCATCTCTTCTCCTGTTTTCTGCATTCTATTGGTCTCGCTGCTGACTGACCTCGGTACTCTTGTGGTTGCAGGCTCTCGGTGATGACAAGCACAAACACCTGCTTCTCTCTCTCGCCATGCAATGCGAAGGTGTCGTCTGCTGTCGTGTCTCCCCCAAACAGAAAGCTCAGGTCGTCAGGCTCGTTAAGGACGGTCTCGGCGTCATGACCCTCGCCATCGGTGACGGTGCCAACGATGTCAGCATGATCCAGGCAGCGGATGTCGGCGTCGGTATCTCTGGCGAGGAGGGTCTGCAAGCGGTGAACTCGTCGGATTATGCGATCGCGCAGTTCAGGTTTTTGAAGAGGTTGTTACTCGTCCATGGGCACTGGAGTTATGCTAGGAACGGCAATATGTGAGTATTTCTTCACGATTGTCGTGGTATATGCGTTGTATGCGTTGCTGACGTGGGGCATCTTGATGCAGGATTTTGAACTTTTTCTACAAGAACATTATCTGTATCGGTGTGCTTTGGTGGTTCCAGATTTACGATGGCTGGTCTTCGGCCTAGTAAGTGTCCTCTTCACGCTTCCTCATGAACAGCGGAGATTGACATCTTTCGTTTGTCTGCAGTGTATTTGAGTATACCTACCTGCTCTTCTGGAACTCATTTTGGACGCTTCTTCCCGTCATCGCTATCGGTCTCTTCGATCGTATCGTTGGTGCGTTTGAGCCCTCCTTGTCTCATACTCTTTCGCCAATGCTAACATGATCTTCGTGACAACAATTCGCAGACGACCACGTCTTAATGGCACTGCCCCAACTCTATCGGTACGGACGTGAAGGTCACTGGTTCGGGATGAAACTCTTCGCGCTGTTCATGGGAGAAGGAATCGTTCAGTCTGCGATCGTGTTCTTCTTGGTCCTCTATGCGTACTTCTCACCATCGTCGCGGACGGACGGATATGACGTGGCTCAGTATGAGTTTGGTACCGTAAGTTCCACCTTTTCGATGTGTGAACTGTGACAAAAAGTTTGACTAACGATTTGCTCGTTTCTAGACTATGGCGACCGCGGCTGTATTAGCTGCGAACCTGTTCAATGGGCTGAATACGAACGTCTGGACCGGGTGGGTGTTCTTCGCTGTGTTCTTCGGTATCGTGATCGAGTGGGCCTACACTGTGAGTCGATCTTTTCAATCTTGACTTGTATTTCGTGGCGCTGACATAGAGTTACAGGGCATCTACTCCATCATCTCTCCCGGATGGTTCGCGACACCCATCTACGGCAACGACCACTATCTCTTCCACTCGGCTCTCTTCTGGTTCTCACTCCCCATCACCGTCCTGATCGCCCTCGCACCGCGCTACATCCACTTGGCCTGGTCGTTCTTTGTTGATCCGAACGACGTCGACATCATGCGCTGGAACTTCAAGCTCAACCCCCGACTGGATATCGAACAGGAGGCATACATTCGCTCCGAAGCCAACCTTGGTGCCATTCACGATCCTATCGAGCGCACACCATCTTCCTCTATCACGCCAAAGACTAAGCCTCATGATCCAGAGATGACGAACGTCTCGCCGTATGGAGCGTCGATACCGACGCACATGAGGGGGAGTCAGATCGATATGTCGACAGGGATCAGGTCTCAGTCGAGAGGCTTCGATTTCGCGACTGAGGAGGGCGGTGTGGAGATGAGGAGGATACAGTCGAATTTGTCCGGACGGTCTGTACCGCGTGAAGGACCTAGAAGAAAGGGGAGCACGTTGTTGAAGAGTTTGAAGCGGCCATTGAGGAGGAAGAAGTTGTCGACGGCGGAAGAGGTGGTCGAGGCATAGAGGTCTCGTTTGCATTGCATTGTGTTGTGTTGCATCTTTTCCCCCAGCTATTGCTCACTCATAGGACTCGTGGCTTGCGCCTGTGTGCTCACCTACTACCTACTTGTCTATCTATCTACCTACTTGTTCTTCATTCGCCCGCCCCACCCGTGTGCTTGGTTTTTGAGTTTCTCTTTTTACCCTTGATTGATTGGTTGGTATCGCTTTCACGCTTCGCCCTTCGTTTGTAATATATCGCTCGTTCGCTTGTCGCGTTCTCGTTCTCGTTCTTTGTTCGTTATTATTACTTCTGTTTCCGCTGTCCCTGCTTCTGCGACTCCCGCCACACTATACTTTAGAGTGTCCACGACCTGGGCTGGTAGAGCCCTCTTTGTCGGCGCACAGTTTTCCTACGACTATTTCATTCCTATTCCACCTCATCCACCTGCCGAACATTCACGTCTATTCCTCACGTCCTCCTTCCGACCAGCTGATCATCGCGACGGTGGCATATCCATCCATTCGTCTCGTACTCGGTACTCGTCCCCACGGCTTCCTCTCATATGCATCGTCTTTTATACTCATTTACAATATCTATTTCGCTTCCTCGCCACCTCATGACGCCACGTCACATCGCGCACCGTCCGAAACCCGTATCTATAGTCTTTTTGTTGTACTTTTAGTGACGCTTTACTTACTCTCTCATGTTCTTTCTGCTTCATCGCGGGGGATTCAGTTAATCGATTGAAAGACGCTTTCTCTGTTCTGAGCCTGCCCAGTCTGAAGTGAGGGGATTCAGAAACCTCGTAAGTGTCATTGCTGTGAAGACGATTCAGATGACGAGGAGCCAGAGAATAAGTTAGACGCGTTTATAAGAGCCAAGATCGTGATATCGTCAGTTTCGGCTCAGGAGACAACTCCCGACACCATACATATGTACATCTACTAGGTCAAACATTTACAACAAACGTACGCTACCAATGCGGTGTCGGGAACGTCATGATCTGCTCACTATCACCCGTCAACTCAAAGCTCGTAACCGCCTTCGCCTGCCCCGTCGTATCCACCCAAAGATTATATACTCCCGGATAAATGATGCTATTCCCATCCTCATCCACCCTAGCGATTGTTCCTAGCGTCACATTCAAACTCGCCGTCGCACTCACTCCCGGCGTGATACCCTTGACTCGCGCGTATGAGACGAGTTCCTGGAGCGGAGCAGGCGAAGGCCCAGCGGTGGTGTTCGAGAAAAGGAGGGCGACGTAGTCGGAAGTGACGTTGCCCGTGTTCGTCACCTGCACCGTGAACGTATCCAAAATCGCGCTATCCACATGGGCCACAGCCGACGACGACGAGTTCGCACTCGCGACCAAATCCTGGATACTGTAACTCGCCGCTGGACTACCCTCCGCCCACTCCACGTCGAAGGTCGTGTAGTGCAAGCCGAACCCAAACTCAAATACGGGCGTGCCGGTGTACCATTTATACGTCCTTCCTGGAGAGCCAGTCGAGTTCGAGGGACGAACGGACATATCTGTCATTGCGACTTGATCGACGTAAGAAGCTGGGTATTGGGTTGTGGTGAGTCGACCGGCGGGGGCTTGGACACCGGTGATTATGTCGGCGAGGGCTTTTCCACCGGCTTGGCCTGGGTAGCCGCCCCAGAGGAGGGCGTTGACCTATATGTCAAGTAAGAATGTGGACAGATCAGATATAATCTCACGCATGGACTATGGACAAGGGTTTGCAGGAGACGGCAGACGCGTTCAGGATGAAGAATAGTAAACATACGGAAGAATTAGCCTTCAACTCCGTATCATCCACCTGCCCACCGCCCATCTGAATGACCACAAACGGCTTCCCAAATGCTCCCAACTCTCCAATCAGCTCCAACTGATTCCCCGGCCAAGTGATGCTCGTACGGTCCTGTCCTTCAGCCTCAACAGTATCGTCGATCCCACCGATATAGACAATGACATCCGCAGCGGAAGCCATGGAGAGCGCATCGGCAAATCCAGAGGTAGAGTTGCCAGAGATGGTCGTTCCGTTGGTGAATGAGACGTTGAAGCCAGCGGAGGTGAAGCCGTCAAGTGGACTAATGAGTAAGGGTGCGATACCTGTTATATATAGAAGGTATCAATATCATGAGAAGTGGCAGACTAGGAAGGGCGCAGTGTTCGTACCTTCATAGTTCCCTTGCATCTGTGTCGTAGCGTTCGCCCATGGTCCAATGAGCGCGATGTGGCTCACATTACTAGAAAGCGGAAGGAGGCCATCGTTCTTGAGCAGTACGATACCTTCAACAGCAGCAGTGTAGGCGAGCGTTTGTGCTGCCGGTGTGTTGACATCGCTGGCACCCAGCGCTCGGTATGGCACAGAATCCTCAGGGTCGAAATAGCCCAGTCTACACACGAGAAGCCAATGTCAATATCTATCTCTGAAACCTCACAAAAGGTCACGCGACCGCAAAATATACGACATACCTGACCAAACTCCCATACAACCTCACAAGTGCTCTTTCCACATCGCTCTTACTCACCAACCCTTCACTCACCGCCTCTCCCAATGTCTCGCTGTAACTCGTCCCGCAATCCACATCCGTCCCCGCTAGTAACGCCACCGCCGACGCGTTCGTCAGTGTAGTGGTATAATTGTGAGGATCGAAGATGTTCCCAACGGCGTCACAGTCGGACGTGATCCACGTGTCGTTCCCAAGCTCGAAATAGTCGCGGACAAGGTCTTGGAGGAGGTACGGGCTTCCGCATGCAGGGACGCCGTTGACAGCGTTATATGAGCCTGTTTAGGGGAGGTTAGCATTATTCTTGAGAAGAATAGTGTGTCGGTATCAACAGAGAGGCGACAGAGGGCGAAGTTGGCAGATGCCAACTGTCAGACAACTGAAAGATACGAAGAAAACACGAAGATAATTTGGGTCACAGTGGCGCAAGAGGGGCTTGGAGGGTAACAGAGCGGAGTCAGACTCACACATAACCGATCCGACCTTCGCGTCTCTCACACAGCTCTGAAATGACGGGGTGTAGAACTCCGCCAGATCCTGTGTGGATACGATAGCGTTAAACGCCATACGATTGTTTCCCTCCCAGTTCTCAAGGTCGTAGGCCGCGAAATGTTTGCAGTCGGCGATGATCTTATAGTACGGGCTGGGGCCGACGCCACCTTGAAGGCCGGTGATCAGTTGGTAGACGTAGCGAGAGGTGTGAAGGGGATCTTCTCCAGGCGTTTCTTGACCACGACCCCAACGGGGGTCTTTGAATCTAGATGCATGGATGTCTAAGTCAGCATCCGGTACGCGAACAGGACTGGTGGTGTTGGAGGTGGACAGACTAACGGGTTGATATTAGGCGTGAAAAAGTCGAGGCCAGAATGGTTGGTATTCCCGAACGCACGAGCCTCGGTACTAATGGTACTGGCGACTGAGAAAATAAGATCGTCATCGAATGCTGCGCTCATTAAAATGGGTTCCGGGAACGAAGTCGCTCCGCTAAAATCGCCAGATGTCTCAAATGTTACACCTGGGCTGGATGCCACACCATGCTACTCGCAAGACGCGATTGATACAGTGTGAGCGCATGGATAGGCGAATAAGGTACTGGAAGAAGAAACTGACGAGAGCTTCGCTCCACCATTCATACGGTGGCAGTCCAAGTCGAGGTACACCAGGCGAAGTATTGACGGTGTTATTCACCATCTCCTCTAGCGTCATTGCGTTGACCAGAGCTTTTGCCCTATCAAGAAAGTTGGCACTGGTATTACAGACGAGGTTGGACGCGAGGGGCCCATTGACGCAATCCGGATATGGGTTCCCTGCGATGACAGCGGGAAATAGAAGAAAGAGAACGGGGACCACTGCGAGCTCCATGTTCGCACAGGCAGAGTAGGGGGTTGACCAAGTGGACAGCAGGTCGCTCAGAAAATCTTCCTTCCGGGAGGCAAGAGCTTTTTGTACAGATCACGAATGTACGTCCTCAAGGTCATGACCTATCAGGCTTGAAACGGACCGGACAGTTGAGTGGGCTCCGTCAGCTGAAGACGTATCATAAATGATTTAGACGCGAAGAGAAGAGGTACACTTACCGCTTGACTATGACACGGGGTCTATGATGCTTCTGCGGAATTTCCAGGAGGGGCAGAATCAAGGCAGAAGGATTACGACGAATACAGATGAGGCGCATAGGTTGACATTTCGAACAACGATTACTATAAGAATCCTTTGATCGTCACCGCCCGTCTTGTTATAGCGGAAACACGAGCCGTGATGAACTTGAGCATGACCGAGTATTCCTATCATAAGCTGTAAAACAGCACCTGACCAAAAGCAAATAGGATGAAGAAGAGATCCGCGGAAGACACTATCGCGATGCTTTCCCCTAGATTATGCGATGAAAGCGTAAGTTAGTGACGACGATCTATGAAAAGAATCACTACGCTCTCATTTTCCCGCACATACAGCGCCGCAGTGTATTTGAGCTCACAGCGCGCACATAAATGAAACAAAGGACAGAATTCTTCCGTCGAGTAACGAATATCTGAAACGCTTCCCGACGATAGGACGGGAGAGGAACTAGGGATGGTGGATATACCCGCTCAAGTCGGAGGCTCTTGAGTTGCATATATGTTTTAAAACTAAGGCATAGTGGGCATCACGGTTAACGGCGTATTGTTTTGGACTTCGAATTCAAAAGCAAAAGGCATGTGGCTGGAAAAGTGGCTGCGAGAGATCAGGCATGTCAGGAATTCGGAAGGGGCACGTAGATGCATGGAGAGTGATGACTCACTTTCTAACATTGGCCAAGCATGAATACAATCTTTGTCCTGAGGCAAAAAAAAAAAAAGAAAAAAAAAAGAAAAAAAAAGCATTAGTGAGGAGAATAACGTACACCAAAAGACGATACTGTACCTCCTGGGTATGCTGGGCAGGTTATCTCAGGTTGCATCATGCTCTACGAACTGCCTTGCCCTTGTTGAATTTGCGATCTGAGCGCTGCATTCTCTCTCCGCAAATCCTCCATCTCCGCCCTCACACCCCTTATTGTCTCCACCCTCGTCTCCTTTCGAGCTTCCAATACCGCTGCTACCGTTTCATCTACACGCTTCCATGTCTCACTAAATGGTTCAGCCTCGTCGTGATCGTCTGCCACGAAATAGAACTGTGCGGTGTCCGGAAGACTTGCTGTTATGAATCGTACGATCTTGTGCGACGAATAGATGGGAGACATGGTGAGGTTCAACTCCTCGAGGGCTGTGAAGCGATGAGCTTCGGTGTGAGAAGGGATGTCGAATTCAGTATCGACGCAAAGCCCCAGAACCTTGAGTTTGGGACAATATCGAGCGAAGTGCGCGAGTGAGCGAAGAGTGAGCTCGCAAGATGTTGAGAAAGGAAAGTCCGGACTAAGGTCCAGTCTGATCAGGTGAGGCCAGTGTGAGGCAAGTTGCTCTGCCTCCTCGTCCGAAAAGGCCATCTCTGTATCCCCGCTCAAGGTAAATTCGGACAAGCACGGAAATTTGAGCACAGCAGAAAAGTCTGTGAAGGCAACGCGTGGCAGGATGTCATACTCTGTGTAGAATGTCAGCGATTCAAGCGCTGGTGACACCATCGCGAGGTTTTCCAGTAGATCTCGCAATGAATGAGAATAACCGTTGTAGCAGAAAGCCAGGGAGAGAGTCGTCAAATTGAGGGTGGGGGAATTCTCATGGAGTAGAAAGCTTTGCATTTCCGGTAACGTTGCGAATAGCGTGAATTTCTGCAAGGCAGGAAATGCGTTACTGTCTAGTCGGGGAACGAACTGGCGATTATGTTGCGAGGGATCTCTTTGTGAGCCGGGAAAGCTGAAGTCAAGGCAGCGCAGGCGGGAGATACGAGAGAGTCGATACATGAGGTGAGGCAGGAAATGGTCCATTGGGAGGTGGATCCTTGTCAAATCTGGCAAGGCTTCTAGCAAACGACACAGCCCTGGCTCTATGAGGGAAGGGCGGCCGCCTGCACGAAAGAAGAAACTCGTCAAGAATGGCATGTTCTCCACTATTTGCTGGGCCCGACTGCGCAAGAGCTTGGCGTCTAGGATTTCGCCACGCATAATCAAACAGCGTACGGTGGGGCTCATGAATGGCGGACCGAAATATGGGGCGTCGATGTCGCCGCTAATGGTTTGGAGGTCGGGAAATAATGTTACTACAGGTCGAGTGGCAGCAATTTGGTACAAAGTGGTTTGCGAAAGTCGAGGAGGGTTGTCGAAAGAGATGGAGCGTATGCGTGTACAATTAGTTAAGAAAGGCTTCCAGTCGTCCCGAGTAGGGATCCGCCAGAATTCCTAAATAAAGATTGTCTCTGTTTAGGTGAAGCCAGAATAGATTCATTTGTCGTACCAGTTTCCCATCAACGTCCATCTTTGTTTCCACCAACGAGCCCCAAATACCGTCAAGATCCCCTATTTCGGCCCAGACCAAGTCGAGGGCGGTGTCCGACCAGTCCTTGCAGACCCGTGCATTTTCGGCGTTTGAAGATGTAGGTAGATATGAAAATATCTGGGTGATAATTTCTGAGACTCCCAAGGCATGGTGCATTGTTGATGTTTGCAAATGACACAAAAGTGGTAGGAAGCGAGCGAGTGAGCTGCAACAGTGAGAGTTTCGTTCAAGGTTGAGAGGAGGCAACACGAGGCAACACGTCGGCCCGCGGACGGTGTCTACGGCACGACGGCTTTCGAGTAACCACCTTCCTTCCCACGACTCAAACTCTAAGGAAAGCAACCAACATGTATACCTACCAAAAATATTTCCACGCATCTCTCGATGAGAAGAGGTGATCTTAAAACGAACTCCGTAGATTCTGGAGGTCGAGGGACTGCACAAAGCAGGTATTGGAGGGTGTGAGGCTGCTGCTACAGGAACTGCTGTCCTGCTGGGATAAAGTGCGAACCCTTGTAAAAACGCGGGTACAACAGCTAAGCAAAACTCTGCCTGGGATGTGTGGCTGGACTACGGATACATTTTCGCTGGATGCAATCTACCATGAGGATTCCACCACGCGACATACTGAACAGACCATATGCTACTACAAACTCATCCATCATCAGAAAAGTGGGAACCGCCCTCGACACGCAGACTCAGGCATTTGGAAGCGGGTTCATGCCGCCCTTATAACCGTGAACCTCCATCCGGTGCTTCTGCTTCTGAGCAAAGGCGGTCTGCCAGTCCTTAAAGACAGCATCACACTGATCACAATACTGGGGGGCCTTTCGACGTATAAACGGCCAGTCAGCGATCAAGGCGACAGGCAACCCAACTACCCGATAATGAGAACTCGTGAAACTTACCACGTATCGGTCACGAAGCTCCTGGGGTGTGTATTCACCCTGGATGTCGTAGGTGTACACCATGTACAGCCCCATATTCCCTTCATCGGGTAGCTTGCTGCCGTCGTCGGTGGCGGTGGCACCCTCCTCCACCTTATTCCCAAACGACAGGATCTCCTCCCTCAGCTGCACGAACCCGCGAGGTGGGTCGGTTGGCAGGTCATCTTGCAGGACGATCTCACGGTGGGCGTAGACGGTGACCCAGGCGAAGGTGATATAGGCAACTGTGGAACTATTGTGGCCCTCCCTGGCCGGGATGATGAGACGGAAGCGGTCAGCGTCGGCGCCAGCACTGGCAGCCGCGTGGGCGATCTTGCGGTAGAGGAGCTTCGAGACGGCGTCGTTATGTGGGTGGTCCTTGTAGAACGGAGGGTCACCGTAGGTCTCGTCGACGCCGTTGGCAGCGAGGAAAGCGTCCAGGGTGGCGACTGAGACCTTGAAGCCGCGGAGGAGGGTGGTTGAGCCTAGGGATGGCATTGTGCTGGTCTGCATGGCCTGAGATGAGATATGATATATGATGAGTTAGGCGGTGGTGTAACGTCGATACTTATGTCTCGGGCGCTGGTTGGGTGGTACTAAGGAGAAACCTAGTCAAGTCGTAAAGAGCCAGAAGTCGTCAGCCGAGGATATGACTCCTCCTTGCTTCAATATATCAGTATGAGAAAGAGATTACTGCAGGCATCGGCCCGTGGCAGAAACGACGCCCATCAAATTTAGTGCCTGTGCTGGGTCAAGCTGTGTTTGGCTTGGTCGAGGCTGAAGGCCTTCGATACAGGCTGTGCAAGAAGGTTAGGTGGCTTGCCTGATCTCCCAACAGACATGTACGACAGTGAAGTCGACCATAACACCGTTTCTGAAGGTTATAGTTCACGCAGACGTGAGACGTATATAAGGTTAGGAAATGATGTTGGGAAAGGTTCAAGTGATTTAGTATAACGCCGCCGAGAGCGCTGTCGGGCCGTCGAAAGACAGGACCCACCCGAAATCCTGGACAAAAGTCAGTCAGTACCAGAGTCAAGTCATTTTCGTACCAGTTTCCCATCAACGCCGTCCTCCTTTATCTCTACCAACAAGTCCCGCATACTCTCAAGATTCTGTATGTCAGGCCAACCAAGTGCAAATTCAAGATGTCCGCCCGATCTAGACCCGTGGCAGTCACGGTCGAGGATGCGCATACTAGATATGATAGTGTCTCGCTGCAGCCTGAGGTTGTTTCGGTTCAAGGTTGAGAGGGTCACGTTGTATTGCCTTAGTACAAAAATTAGAGTACGCACGGGGCGAAGGGAAGACCAGGAACAGTAGTGGATGAGAACGGAGTCTGAAAGCTCGGAAGATTCCAATTGGCTGTGGCGACCAAGTGGCGACGCTGTTCAGGTCGTTCAGAAGCTGGATGCATCTCATCTCACTCAAGCATGGCCAATTTCCGTATATCCCGCGTTTGAGGATATCAGTATACCACACTAAAGGAGAATGTGTGTTTCAATTCATCTACGTAATGGTACAACACCATACATCTGTGGCACAAGGAAAAATACACCCGAACCCGAAGTACATGCTAAACGATCTTGCTCAAGCTCCAAGAATAAGCACCCATTGTCGAATTCCGATACCACAGCCCTCCCGCTATGTGAGGTGCACCACCATACATGTCACGAGTAAACAACAAGATACGCAGGTATGATCGCGTCGTTCCGATAGACTACAAGCTCATCATAATTTAACGTTCCGCCGACCTCACCGATGACCTAGAAGACATGCCGAACCAATGCTGCGAAGTCAAGAACAATTGTACGAGCTCGAGTCCGAAGCAATGGTACGCACAGCATCATAACCCGCGGGCGGAGAGGTCAGGTCATCCATGTCATCATAAGTCTTGAAAGCGTTCCCCACAGCTACGAGGTTCAGCAACATGGTCTTGTAGTTCGACGTGGTCGCATATCCCAAGTTCTTCGCGTAATCGTCGGATCTACGATACCACTTAAGTTAGTGCAATAATGTTGTGCGAGTCGAACGCTTACTTCGATGAAGTGGCCGACGTGTAGTGTCCGCGTCCAAATCTATTATAAGAAATTAGTTGAGTGTACTATCTTTAGGGATTTACTTTCTGAGACGAACCTTCCCCAACCGGTTCCCGTTCCATAGTGATCCAAGTTGAAAGACGAGCGGATGATATTACACAGGGAACAGTCAGAATTGGTGCATAGCTGTGTGCATCCTGGGTCGCCAAGAAGACATGTACGGCTCGTTCTGAGTAACACAGCGCAAACCACACCCGCTATCAGTGAACCATGCTCAAGCGTTCTGATACATGATATCGTATATCAACTCACCCATGCCATCTCCTCCGCTCATTCCCTATACTGCCATCTCTGGCCGTGAACTTGTTCTTTCGTTCAAGTTTATCCCTGCATCAAATCAGATTCAGACACATAACTACTGCCTTCAAGTTAGCTGCTCACCGGTATGAGAGGTACGCAGCTCTCGAGGAATCGTCGACCGTTACGCGATACACCTTTCGTACTCGAGGGACTCGTTTATGAGTATGCAGCCATTTGGCGTTGAACTGCGTGACAACTGCGAGGTGTGTGAGCACCAAGTTATAAATGAAGATGAGTTTGATGCTGACTGCTTAGGAAGGTAGTTTCGTCCGCCTCAAGCTCTTCGATATGGTTTTCATCGATCGAAGACAGGCTTGAGACTGGGCTTGGGGTTCGGCTAGAGGGGCCTTAAGATAGACGATCCGAGTTCAGACACTGGTGAGTATGTGAAACATGTGCAAGGAGTTTAAACCTACTGCTGCCGTTGATGACCTTTTCTACCCCGTCATGCCAAGACCTTGGTAGATTATATGTATACGAGCCGTCCATATATTCGATGAAGTAATTTTCGGAGTCCGTGACGTTCAATTGCACATTCTAATCTATCTCGGTCAGTTGCGCACATGTTCATAATGGCAACCAGAATGAAAAAAACCCATCCACACTCACCCGCACACTCTTCTTCTTAATAGCCTGGAGCACTTGCTTACCCAACCCATGGCTACGGATTACCCCATCGTCTTCAACGACGACCCATGAGCCACCATATCCAAAAGACGCACATCGCAGCGGAACCTGGTTATTAGATCCCTTATACGTCCGTAGGATGGTAGATTTCCTGGATGAATATATGCGTTTCTCAGTGTCGATGATATAATACCCCTGTGGTCCGAATGCCACCCAGTTGATCTGCTCATCGGATTTCCATATGCGCCACACTTCGGGGTAAGCTATCTCCGTCGCAGAAGAAACTGAAGTCGATGAAATATTGAGTACGTTGGAATCACGGCATGTAACAAGACCTATGGTGGCTGTATGGAAAGGGAGTGGAAAGACACACCCCAAGTAGAGCCGCCTTGACTCCAGAAACAGGCCCCATTCTCTCCGCCTGCGAAGGCCTCCATCTTGCCCTGACGTTTCAATCTCTCTTCGAGGTAGTCATAATCAAACTTGCGCCTGATAACAGAGACAAAGTGTCGCTGAGAATCAACTGGAACGAAGAACGGAATGCACTTACCACTGTGATGTGCCATCCAATGACACGCAGAACTCGTCGACTGCGTGCCCAAAGGCAAAGATAATCCTCTGAGAAACATCCTTAGCTTTTAAAAGGATAAATAATTCGATGCGGTCTACTGGAGCATTCTGGTGGATGCTCACAACTTGGGGACCCGGGCTCGTCGACGCGAACAGCTGGAAAAGGATGATCATGGTCAATTACAATGGGCTTGTAGTGCATAGTGATATGTTCGCGGCACTGACACATTTCTTCCATTTTTTCAATTTGAGCTCCTGCGCCATTAGGAACACACCAATCCATCCCTCCGTCGACATATTCGATGAAGTACATGTCCCGGTCGTAAGTGCACAGTTGAACGTTCTACAGCTCCAAGTGAAAGTCAGATACACATGTGATGATTGGAGGATTCACAAACAACTCACCCTGACGTCTTTCCCCTTCAAAGCCTTGCTGATCTTCTTCGACAAATTCTGGGACTGTCTCACTTCACCATCGTCCTCCACGATGACCCAAGCGCCATCATAGCCCCAGGATACGCATCGCATCTGAACGACTCGATCCGAGGTTTTGTACTTTCGAAGGATGTCGGTCTCCCAGTGCAAGGTCCCATCTTCGGTCATGAGAACAAATTCGCCATCTGGTCCAAAAGATACCCATGATATCGTAGCGCTCGACTTGTGGATTTTGTGGACTTTAGGATAGCTATTTTTGATAGAGGCTGATACTATGGCAGATCGAGACTGAAGTTAGCGACGGATGCTAGACTCGGACGATCGACACTGATAAGTGTTGTAGAGAGTTGGAGAAAACTTCGGGAGGCATCGGCACGCGTGAAGTGATAACCTATTACTCGAGCCTGTTCAAGCAGAGCCGAAATCTCACCATAAGGCTTCGCCCCATTCCGTGGTGCTTCCTTATAAAACCATGCGCCATCCTCTCCAAATGCAACGCATTGCACTGGATTATCTTTATCCAGCTCGGACTCTATCGTTCGTGGTACACCCACCCTAGGGCGGAGGAAAGGAATCGATAAGTCTGTGCACGGTGATCGATAAACCATCAGGAGAGATGTACGGCTTACCAGTAGTTCTTCGTCCCATGAGCAACATAGTAAGAGTCTTTGTTCTCGCCGAAGGCAAACAACATGTTTGCTATCCGAGATGCCTAGGTTTCAAAATTTGATTATTTGCTGCTACGTGACAAGGGGAGAGATGATGTCCACGGAAGGAACTGTATTTGGGTCAGCAGTATAAACCAATCGACGACCTGGCACCAAGGTCTTCGACACGAGTCGCTAGCTGGTGGCAGGTTTTTTGAAGTCAGCGATGACCTCCGTTTGAGTTGGCCGTGGACAATGTGCTGTATAAAACAAGCCGAAGGCGAAGCGGACGTAGATGAGGAGCAGGAGGAAGATTCGTCCTCATCAAAGCGTGGCGCTGACGATTCTCTGGATGAAGTGCACTGCCATTGAATGCTGTATTTCGCAGGGTGCGGGTAGAAGGAAGTGTTGATAGCATGATCACGAGGTGGCGTCCATCAACTGTGTCATAATGTGAATTCTGCAGTGTGCTCGATACGACATGGTATCAGGGAGCTATCGATATCGTTGAAGGAAAGTCATCAAGACAGTGCAACTTGAAACGATTTTCCGGGCAAAGAGACGCCTCTTTTCGTCAAGCATCAAAGCTCTGTTCCTTCCACAAGGACGGTTGATCTATCGCATGGATTTTAGCATCGACTAAGCAAGCCGTCAGCAATTTCAAGTCAGGGCCGGACTCGGAGACGGAACAGTGGGCGCACTGTGATTGAAATGATAGATCAGTAGTAGCTAGCACTTGCAACTTGAACGCCATCCACCGTGAGGTGCAGAATATTACTCGTCCCTCGTAGATAGCCACGTCCGAGTCTTCTGTATTCGCATACACGTTTGAGGAGGTCTTAGTCTGTCGTATCGTGCAGGTAGTAGAGACGTAAGAATCCCCAAACGTCGAAGCATACGGCTCCCATATTACTGTACCATTTCGATCGGATGCCATGGTCACACGTCACAAAGGCCCTATGGCATGGCCTATTCCCATTTTGTCACAGGTCACAGGTGATTTTGGCCACTTTTAATCGATTTTTTCTCCGGGCTACGCCCAATTTGGCAAAAAAGTTGCCTTAAAAGGCAGGTCAGTCACAATGTTCGGAGGCTTTTGGCCTATTTACACGTTTGGCCTAAGTACCATCTGTGTCACATGTCACACCCCCATGGCATCCGATCGATTCATCGAAATGGTACAGTAGGACCCCTCTCGGCCGTCGTGTGGCGATCACGGCTGAAAGAGATGTGGCGAGGTACGTCGATACAGGTTCGCAGTAGCACAAAAATATGAACCTCTCCAAATCAGCGCATTCTCGTCCAAGACGCGACGCATAACGGTTCACAACGTGTTCACGCCTCTGAGAAAGTTGCAGAGAATCAAGCCAAAAAAAAAACCAGAAAAACAACAAAAATTACAACTTCCAACATTTACATTGCACTTCCGATTCTCGCCGTATGTCGCTTCGTCCGGCATCCTACTCAACCTTCCCGTGGCCGCTTCTACCCTCCTCTCATTTCTCTATAGGTCCCGACAGATCACCCATCCTATCCTGAACCACTAACACACCCCCTCCAGTGCCTCCGTGGCTCGCAACACGTTACAGAACCGTGCCCAGCCTATCCCGCCCAACCCGCCCCGCCCGAACGACGACAACGACGAGAATTCGAAGAGCCCGAAAGCGAAGATGCGAAGAGAGCGAAAATATAGAGCGAATAACGATATGAACAAGAAAATCGTGAATAAACGAATATACGAATATAAAAAATGGCAAACGAGAAAGGAGGAAGAACGTCAGCGTCATTCCATCGAATTTTGTATGAAGATTTTTTGTTTGGCCCCTCCGCGCCATCGCCACCTCTCCGCCCTCCACACTCCGCACACCTTCCTCCAGCTTCAACTGCAGTATAAACGCTCGGGTCGACGACCTTCACACCACACGGTCCGTGTGCAGGCAACCACCCCGCCATGGCCACAAGACCACAAATCACATCTTCGACGACAGAAACGGAACCGCAAACGCCGCCACAAGGACGAGCGCCGCGAACCCGAGCGCATAATACGGTGATGACGAACCCGAACCTGCCGCCGCCGCTCCCGAAGGTGCTGGACGACGGCGGTAGCGGCTGACGGGTGGCGATGACGATGACGGGGAGGGGTCGGAGAGGATGAGCTGGACGTACCCGATGGATTTGAAGCCGAGGACGCTGGGGCGTAAAATGATCAGTAAAACAGTTGGAAGTTACGAAGGGAAGGGACAGTGGATAGAGAGATGAGGAGAAGGGAGGTGGGGGTGGAAGGGTGATGGAAGGGAGGGTGACCGGAAACGGGGAAGACGGAAGGTCGGAAAGGGGTAAAGAGTAGACAGGAAACAGAAGGAGAAGGAGACAAAGAGTCAAAACACTCACTAATACCCCTCCAAATTCCTCCTGATCTCATCTTCCATCCCGGTCGGAACCCCATCGAGCGCGAACGTGACTTTCGTCGAATCCGTCGACTGCGCGAAGCTGATCGTCATCGTCGCTTCGTGACCTGTTCATTCGCATTCGCCGTGATAGGAAGTTACGAGATTTAGCGTGAGCCCAGATACGCAGTAGAGATGAATGGAGGACGTGTATGAACGGAGGTGCATGAAGGAAGAAGACGTAGGATTCCAGGAATCGAGAAAGCAACGAAAGAAAAGCGGTCGGGAGCGGGGGTCGGTTCCGAGACGTCATCAAAAAGTGAGGATAAAACGCACCATCAGGCCACGTCGGGCTCTGCAACGCCCACGTCTGCTTGATCTCCTTCCCCGGCGTAAGCGAGAGATACTTCCCCCTCACACCTCCCCCGAACAGCGCGTACTCCGTATCCGGCTTCGCGGCGGACTATAATTCCAATTTCGACGCAGCAAACACCGTTAAAGGTCAGTGAACGCGCCAGATGGGTGAATATGGATGAAACGCAGAAGAGAGAAATTAAAAATGTAAGGGTGGTGGACGGCAAATAGGAAGGCGGAAGGTCGATTGCGAGAAAAAGGGTTAATGTATCAAATAACGTGTAACGTATAGGAATAGGAAAAGGAAATCGCATCGGGAAGAACGTGAGTAGATGGGACAAAGCGAGGCAAAATGCATCGGTGATTGGATGATGGATGAGGAAATGGGAAATGGAAAAAGCCAGGACCGGCGAAATCGAAAGCTCGCATATCGACGTACCTGCGCCGGCGCCCTCGACCACATCGGTATCCTCTTCTCGTCCGTCAAGAGCCCGAACAGATCGTCCGCCGCAGCCTGGAAGGTCGCCTCCACCTCGACCAGCGCCCCATTCACCTTCTTCGCCTCTTTCTTCTTTGCTGGCGCTGGAGCCGGTGCCGGAGCGGCTGTGATGGTGGAGGTAGTGGTGCTGGTGCTGGTGCTGGTGCTGATGGGGGGAGCGGGCGCGGGAGACGAAGTCCGGGACGGATCGGCAGAGGCAGAGACAAGGATGTCTTTCCCGTGGACGTCTACGAGCGCGACTGGGAATTCTTTGAACTTGACTTCGAGAGATGCGGGTAGGGACTTTTTCGCGAGAGCGAAGAGAGAGGAGATGGACGGGTTGGAGGCGTCGTGTTCCGAGCCGAGGGACCATTCGTACTATATAAATATGAAGATGGTGGATGGTGGGGCAGTATTGTCAGTAACGTTAACAGAGCCACGACAATATCAATAGGATATAACAGAATAACATGACACTTAAATACCAAGACACTCACGACATAATCGCTCAACCCATCCAACGTGATCTCATGCGAGACCTCAGGGATGACGAGTCGTCCAGACGCGGTCGTTCCATCCGCTGTACTTCCTGTCCAGTTGAGAACGACGCGACAGTCGTAGATCGTGATCAATCTGTGTTGTTCGCCACCGTCACCGTCATTATCATCACAGCGAGGAGAGCGAGGAGAGGACGGCGTCACATAAAGGAGGGGAAAAGGTCTAGTCAGTACCACGATTCAAATGACCAACCAACCCAAACACCACAAAAAATACAGGCGGATAGACGGACATCTCATCCATCCAATCTCAAAGTCCAAAACCGAAACCGCAAGAAAATCAAAAACAAAAAATCAACCCACTTGCTCTTCCTCCTCCCCAACTCCACATCCCCCTCCACCTCCACCACCTTCTCCACCCCCACCTTCTCGCCCTCCTTCTCGCCCACCTCGACCGTCACGAGCTCGCGCTCGAACCAGGTCTTCGCCCAAGGCGTCACCGTCTTGTTCTTCCAGTGCCAGTTGGCGGTGGAGAGTGGCATGGACGACATCTTTTCTTTCTTTGGCTTGATTCGGTTTGAACAACTGTTTCTCGAAGTGGAAGAGGGGTAGATTAGGTCTTGAACGTTGATGGGTGGACGGATGCGAATGTTTCTAGTTATCTAAGCGATACGAGAGACGACAAGCTGAGCTCGAGGGAGAGTACTTGGACAAGCAAGGTAATGCGATGCGATGTGGTGGCAAGAGAGGAGGTAGTAAGCAGCCGGACGCGTCAAAAGTGAAAGTCATCTCGAGCGGACGCGTCGAGAACATTCTATCGTCTTCCCTCGCACTCGAGCTCCTAATTTATCCGGTTCTTCCACGTCCTCTACAACCCAGCATCGAGATCATTCGTCCGTCTGTCCCAGGTGGATGTGCCGCACTGTTTGCGATGTCTTTCTTCGAATGGGTTCCTCTGGTTCGATTTCAGAGTATGTTACACCATGGCGGTGGCGACAACTTTTACACGCTTGACGACGTGTTCAACACAGAAGAAGAAAGGAAGACAAAAATGTTGATATACAGATTACAAGATGTGACAAGAGACTACTGTATGAATAGGGTAAATATACAATGCATCTTCTCCCCCAATGCCCGACTATCCGTACAACAGGACGATGCATGCTTTTGAGAGTCCGTTCACCAAATCCAACCCCTCACTAGGCCTCACTCCTTACCCTCCTTACCCTTCTCTCCTTCCTCAGAATCCTGCGCCGCCCTCTTCCTGATCTGCACATAATTATCTCCCTCCTCCCCCGTCGGCACCGCCTCCACATCCCCAGAGATCCTCCCCTCCACCTCAGGAACTACATGTTTCCTCTGCGCCCTGATCAGCTCCAAGTCGTGCGTGAGCAAGCCGTGGCCGGCAACGGGGCCGTAGAACGACGTCGAGCCGAGCGTGGCGATGATGCAGCTACCGACGAGGATGGAGAGGTAGAAGCGGTACTGGGAGTACCATTTTGGTGCTGCACAACCAAGTCATTCACGGTCAGTTCCCGAATCTATTCTCAGGTCAAAGTGGCAAAAAGCAACAACGCACTCCACCCAGCCCCGGTAGCCTTCAAATCCGCCCACCAGAGACTCGTGAACCCGACCCATTGCGCGATCAACGCCGTCGTCGGATCGAGCGCCAAAGTCGGCCATGCATAGAGCACGGGCGCGGCACCGAGCGCGAGTCGCGCATAACCCTTGTGGCCACCCAAGCCCGCGAACTCCATCCCCCAGTGGAGGGCGCCGAGGAAGGAGATCATGACGGCGCCGTAAGTGACTTGGATGTTGAGGGCACGGTCGAGGATCGTGAGGGCGACGCCAGGGTCGAGGTTGGTTACGGCGCCTTGAGGGGCGAGTGTTAGTTGAGTGGGTTGAACTTGAAGGAGAGGAGGGAGAGGGGAGTCTTACCAGAGGTGGCGAGACCGGCTTGGTAGGCGAGGTAGCAGGTCGTGGCAGACGCGAAGATATAGGGAACGCCTCCGAGCAAACCAAACACGATATACGGCTGAGGGACAGACGACGCCACCGAGCTCGTCACATTCAACTAAAAACAAACACCGCACGCCACACGAATCACGAATTAGCCCCTATCGCGCCACACATTGCGGCGTTAGCACGGCGGTGACTTACGAAAGTCTCCTCGCCAGGCTGCACGGTGTCCCTCGTGAAGTTCCCACCAGCGATCGTCCTCGCGAGGTCAGTCGCTGAGTTCCCAATTTCCTCCTTTATGTTTTGTGTCGCCTGCTCCGGCGTCTGAGACGCAGGTCTTCCAGAGACTGAGCTCGCTTCTCCCCTTGTCTGCTGTTGTTGGAAAGCGTTGGCGAGTCGGAGAATAGAGACTCCACGAGGTGGAATGAGAGGCGTTATTCCACCCTTTGAAGAGGCGTGTGCGAGACGGGAATAGGGAGCTCGCAGAGTAGGCCCTAGGGAACGACGAGCCGCGGTGCGAAGGGCGGCGGGGCGTGCGAGAGAAAATGCGTTCAACATCGTCGCTGTCGATGTCGGGATGAGCGAGCGGGTGGTTGTGGTTATGGTTGAAGTTGATGAATTAAATGGGAATGGGATTGCGCTGGTTGGCGGGAGCGGGTTATAGAGGTGGGCGAAAGCCCCTGACGTCGTCTGACGTCATGTTCAGCTGAATGATCGCTCCGCTTTTGGAGCGACGTAAACTCCCTCTTGGGTCCATCGAACAATGGCCACTGTGGCCCAGTCCCACGATGTGCTCTCGTGCTTATTATCATCTCTGCCGAGTCAATGCTGGCCCTTCAGGATAATCTGCGACAGCGTAACCAACAACTCGAACCCGTCTAACAGACATCTTCATCGTTCAAAAGTCATCGAACTTCTCCGCTTCCAGGTCTCTTCGTCGGCCCCACTGCAAGTCGAGACCACAGGCTCCCCGAACAACGCCGTCCTCACTAACTTCGCATCTTTCAATCTTCCTCATCAGTGCCTCGACTCTCAAATAACCTCCAACATCTTCGATTATGTAGGTCTGTTCGATCACAATGCCATTTCGTGGGCAACACCAACGACGTATCGACCCGGAGCGCCCATGTCGTGGAACCTGCATCGCCGCTGCTCGCAACAGTGCTTGACCGGGGTAAGGAAATCCCGTCTACCTGGCGTCGGTAATTCCGAATGAGTAGGAGCATGTTCATCCTTCTCGTTTTGTTCCGAATGCGGATATGTCATTGACTTTGAACTCCGCGCACTGGACAGGGCTGTTATTACACCGACGTCGGACGTCTTGGTACAGACTTTCATTTGGACATCAATTTTGAGAGTCAGACACCCTGTCAATTTATTGGATCTCCACCGTTTGGCCGCTGCACTGAATCGTGTGGGTTTCTTCCGATCGCACTTGATCGTTGCCTGACAGAGAACTAACCATTCTTACCGGTCTGTTGATTTCTCAGCCTGCTCGAACAACGAGGCTCCTTCCACACTCTTCGATTCTCATGGATCAGAATGGGCACCATTCTCCCTCCCTCAATTGTTTCCCACTGGTGGCATCACTGCTCAATGATCATCGAAAAATAGGCCTTTCCAAGTATGTGTGAGGAAATATGGGATACTAACCGCCGAGTTCTCAGCCAGACCCAAAGTTCAAAATGGCAGGAATGAGCCCGCATCGTCCGTGAGTACGTTCATCCTTCTCTCCTCTCAGAACTCCGGGTTGACCCTCGAACGTCTTCTAGCTTTTCATCCGAGTTCACCGGCGGTCAGTACTTTGATCTGAGATCCCAGGTCGACGTTCATCTCACTTAACCGAAAGCCAGAGCTTACGAACATCTGGCAGATCCGCCGGACAGAGTATGTCTCTCGCCATGCGTTGGAAGAAGAAGGCTCCCTACTTCTCCATTCTCTTCGAGAATCACGTATAGGTCATGTATCTCTGGGTTGGTGCACGCTCAGTTTGTGTGCAGAGGTAGATGAAAAACTCGTGTTTCGCTATTCTTTTTGTCTTTTTGCCTAAGTTCTCATGATCAAGTAGCGAAGTGTCGCGGTGACTTGAGTACCATGTACACGTCTTGCTTCGAGGCTCTTCATTTTCTCATTCGGAGCTGCTATGAAGAAAGGGATCATCGTCTCCACCCTTCGGACCGTTCAGGTTCGCAACTCACGCTTTTTTGCCCTAAGTCTCCGCACCTCGGACATTGGTAAATCTCAAGAAACGTTTCGTTTTCATACCGCCGATGGGTATCGTATCTCCGAGTGCTCATCCTCCAGTTTTCCTTCCTCACAAATATTTATCGCTCGCACGATACGATGAAGAAAGGCGCATTTCGAAATTTTTGACGTCGATACCTACACGGACCCATAAACTCCGTCTCATGTCTCAAGCTTCTGAGTCTCGAGCAATAAATATCCACGTCTTATCTAACGTACCGTCTTTTTCATTCATCTAGAAGCGTGAAGCTCACCGTCTCGATATACTCTAGCTAATCCCTTGCTCTTCCTAGATCAGCAATGGGCCCGCAACTCTGCCACAGTCCTATGACGCTCTCCCTAAATATACACCTATCCGGGCTCCCTCAGGCCTCAGGCCTCTTCCTTCACCTATAAGTAGAACTGAATCCTGTCCGAATTGACCGGGTGACCAAGTCGCACACCCACGCCGATGCGCACGCACGCACGCATATACTTACCCCAAGTCCCACGTACGCATATACTTACACACGGTAACATACCCACCCATAGAATGGTCCCACGCACACCCAATTCGCTTAACCTTCAGACGTCCCAAGCTTCGAATCGAATCTTGATCCCGATGCAGGCCCACTTTGCGTATCTCGACCTCAAGCTAATCACCGATTCGGCGTTCGAGTTGAATAAGTATGCCGGGGAGACGCTGGCAGCACAAGAGTCAAGACAATAAGTTTCCTGACCGGCGTGGCTCTGACGACTCGAATTCCACGTTCAATCTCGCCATCCTCGCACTCAATCTCGCCGCACTACACTACAGATTACAGTAAGTGAGCTAGCACCGCTACATACCTTCATCCCCACTTTAACCCATTGTCGTCCACCCATCGGTTTTTAGATCCAGATCCAGATGCATATGGCGGGACTCGGAAGGTGAGAGATGGTAGCGGAAATCTATTATCTCAGAGCGTGGTCGTGTTTTTGTCTCCCAGATATTCGGCCAGCACGTTGTCCGTTGGAGAACAATAAGGCCCTCCTGAGGCCTGAGCGTTGAGCCCTTTCGAAGCCGTCGGCGGCTGTAATTACTAATACCTAGCGAAGTGGTATCGCGGAATCAGGTGAAATTCGTGGTTGTGTTGCGAAGAGACCGACCGAGTTGACGACAAGTACATACAGACTCCAGAGCAAAGCGTGAGATAGCCTAAGTGGGCGATTCAGAAATCGTCATGTCGCAAATATTCGCCAGGAGAAGGAGGAGTTAAGAGATGTACGGAACTAACTCCTCCGGTGCAAAGTCCGTATCAACGGCGAACCATGAACGATAAGCCCGTTTCAGTCTCAGTCTCTTTGTTCGTCGTGATCGGTAAATTCAAATCGACCAATACCGCAATCTTTCCTGCTAGTAATCCCGAACAATTCGAACAATATCAGAGGCACGCACGAGAGGATATGACAGTCATTCAGTGTGGCTGTCATTGCAAGGTGGGTGGGTGGATGGGTACTAGTAATAGCGGTACTCGGAAGGCGAAAGAAAGAGGGAAAGAAAAGAAACTCTATATACAATGTGCAATGCAATGTGCGCGAACGAAGATGAGATCGTGACGATGCTAGAAATGCGATGAACACGAACACGAACGTGGATAGAAAATCGAACGAACGAAATAATGCTGAAGCCTATGGGTCATCATAAGGGAGTCATGTACGTATCGTGCATAAGTCCAGATGCACGAACTGAAGGGACAAGGAGCAGTCAACAGTCCGAGAGGCGAAAAGGCGAACATCGAGCCAGAGCACACACACAATCAGGCAATCAGACACACAAACGGAGACTCTGAGGTACACCGAAAACATCGAACGTCGAAGACGAAGACGAAAGAATTTCACTGATACAGTATAGTGTAGTATGAGTAAAAAAAAAGCTCAAAAGCTCAAGAGAAGAGAGAAGAGAGAAGAGGGAAGAAAAGGGCAATAAGGAAAAAACCGATGCATGCTTGTGTATACGTTATCGATCCGTAAGTGAGGTCGCATGCACCATTAGCAGTAGTAGTTGAAGAGTGAAGGGTTGAGAACGAAAAGGTAAAGAGGAGGGTAACGAAGTAGTTGATAAATATTGTAATGTTATGTGTGGGGAGAAGTCGTCAGGGGATCATGAGTAAGCAGCCGGAGGAGAGAGAAGAGGGATGCAGAGACGGGAGAGAGATGAAATGTTGAGGACTCGAACCGAAAGCCAAGGAGAACGCCCGGCCCCGAAAAGACGAAGAGGGGAGAGGGAGGCAACATATGGACATGAAAGAAAGAAGCAGGGAGGAAACCCACTGACGACGACGACGACGAAGGACGAACAGCCGAACCCACCGCACTGTTCAGGCCGGTGCGAAAAAGGAGAGAAAACAACAACAGAAAATAAAACAGAAGCGAGGTATAGAGCACCTGTCGCCCGCCAGCGCAAACCACCAGTCTCCTCTCAATCTAAGCAGTCGCAGCCACCGGCGTCGACGCATAGATGGGGGGAATGTGCTTATGCCTTCCCTCCTCCATCGGCAACAGCTTCACGAACCGCGTCTTCTTCACTTCCGCGCCGGCCTGCTGGAAATACCTCTTCGTCATGAAGCTCCAGTGCAACGAGCCGACAATCCAGTCCTGCAATCCCTGGACGTAGCCCGTCACCCAGCCGTCGACTTGGGGCCCGAGGTGGGCGAAGGAAGGAACGCGGGCTTTGTTCTCGACGAAGGCGTCGATGGTCTGTTTGCACAGTCCGCCGACGCGGTCGATCGATTCTTGGAGGGTGCAACCGTCGTGCTCCATGAAGATGCAGATCATGTTGTGGGTGTCGCCGCGTGCTTGTTCGACGTTGTAGGAGAACACGTCCTGGAAGACAAAAGACAAAAAAGAAAACAGAGGGTCAGATGGGATCTCACATGAGAGAAGCGTCGGACGAAGTAGAGAATATGGAAAGAAAGGTGAGAAGAACGAAGAGGGGGTGGCTGGTCGCGAGGGGATATGGGTAAACTGGGCAGGCGAAAAGACAATAAGAGTGTGGCGTGTGGCGCATACGTACATTAGACCACGTAACCAAGTCGTTTGCGCCTTGGTTCAGCGCCTTGATGACCGGGTGATCCACCACTTCCTCTGGCAACTCAAAACCAAGCGCGTACTCGATAAGGTCGAAGACGGGCTTGCAGCCGGAGGTGTCCCTGCGCATGTCGATATAGGACTCGAGATCAGGGACGACCTCACCGCCACGGTCGTTCGCCTGCTGCTCGACGGCCTGGAAGAACATGTTCATTGAGGACTTGAAGCGTTGTTGAACACCGGGCTTGGCCTGCTGGATGCAGCGTGACCAGTAGCTAAGAAAAGAATGCCGAACAGGAAGGAAAAAGACAGGAACACGAGTCAGCATGAATGTTCAAGACATATGACACGCCACCCGATAAGGAGAAATGCGACGTCCGCAAGGAAATAAATGTCGAAAGAACGGAGGAAGGGAGGAGAGTGGAAATGAAAGACGGAAAAAAGGCGGGGAACTCACTCCCGAGCAAGCTTCACAGCTGCAACCTCCTCGATAACCTCTCCATCGGCGTTTACCGTCGGCTGGAACTTGTCGGGCCACTCGAAGGCGTTCATGACCCAGTTGGCCAACTGCGTCGTGTTCTTGGCCATCATGCCATCGGAGATGTTGTCGAGATGGAAGAGGTAGTTCATGAAGTCGTCCACGACGCGAAGACGCTCGGCAGGGCAGTCGTGGTAGCAGTAGGCGGTGAGCTCACCGGCTTGGAGGCCGTTCATCGCGGCGACCTTTTTGGGGGTAAAGTGGGGGACGAAGGAGAGCATCCACGCGAGGGATGCGGCAGCTTCCTGGTCGCCTGCAGGATGGTAGGTAAGAGGAAAGTTACAATGCGAGACGAGATCTGGGAGCATGAAGGAGGTGGGTGGCGAGAGCGTTGGAGTGGGAGAGGAGGTGCGAGAGTGTGCGGGAGAGTCGAGCTCTGACGCGACGAGGGACGGTGAGCTAGCGGTGGACATGATCACGATGAGTGCAGAGGAGGAAGGGCAAAGTCGAAGGAGGATGGTATCCGAGCGTGGGATCTTTGTGCGGAGGAAGGGGGAGGAGGATGCCCGGCTGTGTGCAAGACAATAAGAGATCAAGAAGATCAGGGATGTGTGATGGTCCCTTGAGGTGGGAAGTTGGGGCGAGTTGGGAAAGAACGTACATCTGGATGGACGCTTTATAGGTGCGGAGGGGAGCCATGATGCAGTAAACGCCCAAGAGTGCGGCTCCGGTTAAGTCGCGTTTGGAAAATAGCGAACAAAACAGAGACTGGGGATGGTCCAAGCCGGGCCTGTCAACCGTATTTCCGATATCTGTCACAGGACGGGCAAGCGTCCAGGGCAGACGAAACAAAGCAGAGACAAGGAGGCAGTAGTTCTCGACGCGATGGATCTCGGACTCGATGACGCTTCCACAAGATCTCGTCCGCACAAAGCTTGTTGTACTTCAGGCAAGCCCATTTCCTCCACAAGAGAGCCGATCTGAGACGCGATCTGGCGGAGGACAGCTGCAGAGGCGCGGGCCCGCCGATGAGTCGCCACACCGCTACGGCAATACAGACCCAAGCAGCCTGCATAGCTCCGAGAAGGTAAAATCACACACGCGCCTAGCTGCTAAAACGCGGTAGAACGTAAATCAAGAGCGTACGGGGGCTGCTTATTGTCCGACGAGGGCCCACGATTGGACGCAGCACTCCCCCGAGACGAGCAAGACAATAGACCCATCCAGCCGAAAAATCGAAGCCGTATTCGGATTATACTGCTCCCGGGCCACCCTCCGGCTCTTGTTCGCCGCCTCGGACGACCGCTGTGGACAGTGTGCAGAGTGCAGCTGGAGCGGATCAGCGAGCAGAAAGTCGTCAAGAGCAATGAAGAGCGCGGCCCGGAAGCGCATTTCTTGTTCGTCCGTCCCATAACCGGAAGGCGCGTTGCCTCCGCTACTCCCGCAACGTGGCAACCACCCCGTTCTGGAAGCACCTCGCACTCGCTCTTCTTCTCCGTGGTCTGTCTCAGACATTTATCAATCTCCTCTTGGGCTAGCTTCAGTGAGTGGTACGGTATTCAGCGGATGAGACGCCCCCCCATAAATTTCTTCTCTTGTAGCTGTCTAGGCCTCCCAGGATCATTATACGCAGTGCCAGGAATATTCTCATGCCACGGCGGTAACACGATGACCGGCGGAATGACTGCAGTGGCCATCGCTCTTCTCAGATCGGTTCCACGTTAATTTTGGGTGTGTGTGCACCAGCTCCGGAAGTTTTCTCAATCTCCTTGTGGCAGTGCCCCAGGAAGTTGAACAACATTCTCTGCACACCCCCGCCGCTGATCCGCTCAGAACCCATCGCATCGACTGCCAGGCTTTCTTTCAACTTGCTTCCCTCCCCTTGGAAGCACCGCACCATATGTGCCAGAGACCATCACTGTTCTACCATCATCTCCATCACCCGAATCTGAGGCGGAACGCTCCCGTTCATTTTGCAGTGACACGCAATAGTGACCGTGCCGTCTGACGTACATACGAGCGCCGTCTCTCCAAGCTCACCGAATCTCTGAATCTGGCATGTCGTGGCAGTTTTATTCTCTCTTTTCCTTCTCACCACGGTCATCGGCCGTTGCTCGGGTTTATAATGATGATGACTGACGTTGACGGAGGGCAATTACCGCTGTCCACATCGTGCGTACACTTACACTTCATACTTACACGCCGTTGCCCGCACTTTATCGTCGATCTCAGCCTGAGGATCCTTACATACTTACTGGCCTTCCAAGCTTCCAAGTCAGTAGTAAGCCAATCGAATCTTCTCCAAAGTTACTCCTAATTCGGGACGATCAGGGGTTGACTCGTTGTTCTGCGTTTCAGGTCTTTTCTTCTGACAAATTTCCTTCACTTACCGAGAGGTAGACGAGGGTCATGACGTGCGCGCGACCTCCGTCCTCCGCGCTCGTCGTAGCCTTCGTAGTCGTCCCGCCTCGAGGCTTAGAGTTACGAGTCATAAACAACGACGGCGAGGCGGCGAGACGGCGACCTCACTGCCTCTGCCCAATGACACGGTCTTTCTCTGACATTGGACGAGCGCTCGAGGTTGCGTAGTTTCGATGGTCTTGTTGTCTGGCCTCAATTGAGCCCAAACATTCCGTGGCGTCGAGTTCGCCGTGTCAGATTTTATGTTCTTCCTTCCGAACGATTGTACAGGACCCCTGCGTATGCTGACGGAGGTCCCATCCTGATGCGACGAATTTTGGGCGAAAAATCGCGTTTCGTCCGATCCGTAGTGCGACGAAAATGGCCCGTCGATGCTGATGTTCCATCCCGCTATGCGGACGAAAATGCCTCCTGGGGACGCAAAAAATGGGGTAAACACGGCCAAAAACACGGGCGAAAAACACATTTTGAGAAAATTTTTGACAAACAGGGCTTGAGAAGGCCCAGGAAGGCCTTATGCGGAGCGATGTTCCATCCGATCGTGCGTACGGAAATGGCCAAAAATCCGATGTCCCATCCTCATGCGGACGAAAACACCCCCCAAATCGTGCGACGAAAACGACCGATTTTGGGGGTTTTCGGATGGGACCTCTGTCAGCATACGCAGGGGTCCTGATTGTACATGTTTGACGTCGGGCTTCTTGGGATAACACCCTCCCACGCTCACGCTCTCTTTCGCGTCCGAAATGACCCGACGTAGATCTTTGCAGGTTATAGGCTTCTTCCAATGAGGGGAGGAGGATTGGCTATGTAGAGACTTTAGACGAGTGGGTGGAGACTTCTGGCTGAGCTACAAGACGTAGTGAAAAGCGATGGGGTCGGGACGAATATCTCCGTCGCGTAGACTCAGACACAGACACAGACTCGGTCAGGCGAACTGCATAACGACTGCGACAGAAATGTGCAGTGGATGCATGCTGTGGCTCTGCTGTAGTGGAGTACTCTTACTCGGCGAGTCCACACGTGTTACGGATCGCCCAGTGGCCACGTCTCATTCTGCGTATCACTGTAACTGTCTCTCACTTACCTAGCTGCTCTCGTTCTTGTGGTGTAGCCGGAGACAGCAATGCAGACGATGTAACGCGTTGTGATAGAGGACCGATGCGTTATGGTAGAACACTGATGCGTTCGCTAATGGCACATACTATCCTGAATCGAGCCTACCAACGGCGAGGTCTGAGTATCGGGCACCTAGCGGCTCTTTTCTGTGTGCCATAGTGTAGCCTGAGGCAGCAATGCAGACGATGTAACGACGTTGGTGGAGCCGTTGGTGGCACATGCTATTCTGAATCGAGACGACCAGTGGCGAGTTGGCGTACGCTTGTGCAGAGGTTTCACTGTGCGATGCGATACTTCAGCTAAGTTCAGCCACCGTACGGAAGAATTCTACCTGGCCGTTGAGCCGCAGTAGTCTGAGATACACCATGCTTAGTTTAGCCACTCCTAACACACCGTACGAGCTTCGTTGTTCAGAAGCCCTGACAATCCGAGTCGTCGCAGATCTCTACACGACCCACGACCCACTGCCAATTCGACTCTTCTTCTTCTTTCGCTCGTGCTTCAGTGTGTTGTATTGTTTATCAGTGAGATTCCAGGCAAGGATTAGGAGTCAAGATCTCCCGAGCCTTATTGTTATTGTTTTCTCGTCGGCTGAGACTCAGACTCAGATACGGTGACGTTCATCGATCTGCAGCTGAGTCTGAGGTCTTTTCTACACCCGTGTATGGCGTCGATAAGCCTGAGAACCCTGCGCGGTGCGGAATGTAGAATGGATGCGTTGAATCTTCATCTGTCGGCGTTGATGTTTGATTTTGAATAAACGCACCTACCCTGGGTATGCTTTCATATTCGTCGTTCTCCTGTTCAATCGTAATTGTTCTCCGACGCTGACGATGTCATTTTCATCGTATGCGGTCCATGACCTGCGGCACGTCCATGAAATTTCCGCACACTTGCCTGCGGTTCGTTCCAATATCACATATTCATCTCGCTTAGGGTCGTCCGTCTTCGTCTTCGTCAAAGCACCGCGATATCATCTTCATATCCTTGTCCGGCGTGGTATTTTCCCAATTGTTTGTTCCACGGTCCTCTGACCATGACCATGAACCACGCCGACCGACGCGGCTATCTCATTCCAAGCCAACATCTCATCTGATCATCGTTTGTGTTGTGTTTGTTGTTCCGCGAGGACTCGGAGGAGGAGGGCTCGTTAATTGTTTACTGGAGGGAGGTGTTTCATCTTGGCTGTGGTGCTTTGAACTGATACTGATGATCACCGAGCTGGAGCAGGTATACGGTGATACATGCATTACCTGCAGTTGTTGTTCCGTGAGTCGTCGTTAATTGTCCACTGGCGGTCATGTTTCATCTTGGCTATGGTACCGACTGATAATCACCGATCCATAGCAGGTATACGGCGATTCATGCATCGCCTGCAGCTGTTGGTCCTCGTAATGCGCGTCTGCGGAGTACAGCTCGCGCTTTGACGGTTGCTCGTGCATCAATATCCGTTTTATGCCTTGAAGAATCGTACAACACACTGGTGGCACGTAAGGCGCAATATTACAGTAACCGAGTCACTCCACATGTTTCAGCCATCTCCAGTAGACTAACAGGCATCCTTTTCTTTGTGTTTAGGTGATAATCACGGTTGATCATGGCGTTGATAGCGTTGCCACAGGACCGCCATTCTCGAATGAAACGAGGAAGCGCTGGACAATGGAGGTGATTCAGCGTTTGTTTGTCTACATGTCAGTGTCTTTCCTTCTTGTGGACGAAGCCAACCCATTAACCTGCGCTTTTGCTTTTCCTGGAGGCTGTGAAAGTTGTGGCAGTCGTTTCACGGACTGATTTTCCGTTTGAGTTCACCGTGGCGTTGACGGCGGAGCCACAGGCCCCAGGAACTAGGTTTCAGTGGACGTATGTTTTTCTCTCTTTCTTTCTACACTGCCTGTCTAACAAATAATCACGACAGGTACTGATGACGATGGCGCAGGTTTTATCTTGTTTCGAGGGCATACATATGGACGATACGAGCTCACTTGACCGGTGCGAGGCCCATCTTGATGAGGTCGTAGTTTGTGGCAGGAATAAAGTTGTAGCAGATGGGCTACATTGAGCACTCTCCTTGTCGTTTTCAGTGTGCCTGCGGGGGTCTCATCTATGCGTGAGTACGTGCGTCCTATGTTTGTTTTCTGTTTTCTGATCTTGATTTTGGTCTGATCGTTGATGGTACCTCCCGTATAGGTTACAAAGCCTGTGTGACAAAGACTCGGGAGAGAAGATGCCATCGCGCTCTCGTCCATCTACCGACTCGCAATCCCTCGGCGTCTCAACAAACGCCATCACATACAGGAAGGAATAGCGTTTGTCATCCGGACCTCTGTGCCTCTGAGATATTTCTTTCTACATTGTGTATCCACTGGTCACATCCCCATCCTACCACTTCTACTATATCGCATCCCGCGGAGCGCTGAAAACTTTACTAGCACGAATCTCCGCGCTTAGAAGCGTCGGTCTCATGGCTCCAGCGAGTTCACCGTCAGAGACACCGAAGCGAACCGGGAATTTCTGTCAGCCATGTTCATTTCCTTCTGTGGCAAACGCCACAAGTTAATCGTGCAATCTTATACAAAATCGCGTCCTATGGTCGCCCGTCCGATACGTTTAGTGGCCGAACATACCGAGCAGACATTCGATTTCGTGCAGAAATCCACTAGTGCACAAGTACTCACTGGCAAGGTGTCCGATTTTGACGAACGAGCGTCATCGGCAATGATACCGCCGGGCAATTGCCTTTCGCAGAAAAGAAGATATCCCAGATACACCTTGTCTCTTTCCTTTTTAGAACCGGATCCGAGCACACTTATTTTGAATCATTATAGAAGATGATCCCCGGGATGGTTCGCACGATGGCAGGAGCCGTCGTTGACGGTAGCTAGGAGAAGCGGAACGGTAGTGAGCCAACGATCTCTCTTACCGATTGCGACGGACTTTGATATTTTTGTAGTTCAGTGGTTTATTCCTAGCCATCGACTTCGCGTCCTCCATCATCCTCTTTCCTCCGCGAGCGCTCCTCGGACAAAATTAATTTGACGCCAGCCGTGACGCGCTTGGACTTCGTCCTCCGAAAAGTGTCTGAGTGCGACATAAGACTATCTCTTCAGGTCATTTCGTGTGAGCGGAAGTCATTGTGTTTTCGGACAAACGTCCGGAAGGAGACTCTGAACATCAACATCTGTGCCAGTGTCCGCACAAATCTCCACAGAAGTATGGGTTTCTCCATGGATTTTTCGGTAAGTACTGCCCTCCAGTCCCCATATATCGTTCCTAACCTCTAAGTTCTATTCCTTGGCTTGCTCTCGCTCTCCCGCATCATACCTCGCAGTATCACCGTGAACGGAACTTTCTCCGCAGTCGATATTGGGTGCAGAGGCATCATCCCTGCTGATGATCGCATGCGTTACACACGTCCGTGCATTGTGCAACAGAATTCCATTCTCATCTCGAGTGAGTATTTCTGGATCTATCTTGCGATCTCTGATAGTTCCTTGCTCCGTTTCAGTGTTGCAGAAAGTTTCATTACTACCACAGATGTATCACGCACGGCTGTCGGTGAGTTCTGGTGAGCAAATACCGAGGCCCTGTCAGTTGCCTTTTCGTCGTGCCTTTTCGACTGCTTCTTGGATGCGCTGGTCTTTCTGAGCCTTGAACGGCTTGTTTCACGTCCCGTCACCACTCGGGAGTACACAAGGATAATCAGTACACAGGACTGCGCCCATTTGTGGAGCCCTACATGAATGCCTCCATTATGTTCGTTCTTTCGCTCTCTAACACCTCTCCACTGCCGGCACATTTCTTCATTTCTCTGTGCAGGCCATTGGGTACTGTCACATCGGTGAAAACACATCGATAATGCCATGACATGTCCATGCGTCTTCCTGCATGCAGTATTGTCATCTCGCTTGCAGTCGGGGGTCAATGTCGTGTGCACCGACAATAAAGCTATACGTACACGCTACTAATTAGAGCCCCGCACCATTCACGCAATATCCTGTGAGTGTCACGGTAGGTCATTAATTTCGACACTTCCCATGAGACCATGAAACTTGTTTCAAACAACCTATTGTACTGCCCCTCACATTCTCGGTATCACTGACATAGAATGACTCGCTTTCATCTAGGAAGCCGCCCTTTTATGTTCGCCCATACTCCAGCTTGCGCTGGTGCGGTGCGGTACGATGCGGTAAGTACTCTACAGCTCCCGTTGGGAATGGCTTATAGATTACTGTATTCACATTCGCCTACAGGTAAATCTAGGATGACCTGCGGTTCTGTCACATGAGCTGGTCTGGTACAAGGAACAAGATAGCGACAACTCGAAGAAAACATAGCAAGGGTAGAGTTGTTCAACACAACAAAGAGACTTCAAAAAGAACGCCAAAAACAAACCCAAAGTCCACTCCGCATCCGCTGTTCATCTAAATCGTTCCCTCCCGACCTTCCTCCTCCTCCTCCTCCTCCTCATCGCCGTCATTCCCTCCCGAAGACGGACTCGAAGGAGCAGCGCTCGTCCGTGGCAAACTCGCATCATCCAACCCAGACAAACCAAGTCCGAGTCCGTCCGAGTCCGAATCCGTCACCTCTTCAGGTCCTTCCACATCGCCAAGTTGACCGTCATCGCCACCATCCGAACGTTGACCCGCGCCATCATCCACATCCCCGAAATCCACATCCATCTCGTCGACAGCCTCATCCAAGTCGTCCTCTCCCCGAGTCTGCGCGTCCATCTCCGCCGAGTCAGCACCCCCAGGCCGAGGCGGACTCGGAATACGAATCCGCTCCACCGAACTCAAAGCAATCGCGCGCGAATCCATCGAGATGTCAACCGCCCGCTTCTTGTTCTTCTGCTTCTTCATTGGCCTCTCCTCCTCTTCGTCGTCATCGTCGAGTTTGCCGTAAACTATGGAAACAAAAGATGGTTTTGCGCCCGGGAACGGCTCGACCGCGCTGTTCGTTGTCGTTCGGGACGAATATGAGCGCTTCGAGGCGGAGGGTCCGGTAGCCTCCTCGGGCGAACGAGGGAGTTCGTGTACGATGGGACCGTGGTCTTTGGACCAGTCGAGCGATGCGCAACCTTTGATCAACTCGCGTAGGTGTCTCGGGTTGTCCAGGCGCTTTATTTCGTCTTCGCGTTGTTTTATTAGGTATGCTCGCGCCTTCTTCGCATCCTCACCCTTGTTAGTTACTTTAGCCGCTATATCTACATACCGGGGTTGAAACGCATCTCGCATAGATATGAGGACATTGTTGAGAGCGTTGGGAGTGAACCGGGTGGGTATAGTCGCGTTGGGCCAAGGCTGGGAATCTGTCATGACATTGTTTTTGGCGTTGCCGCCTCGCATTATACCATCGGCCACGGACCTCTCCTCGAAGATCACCTGGAGTCGTTCCTTTATCCGTTCGCCGCTCAAATCGTGATTGCCATACCTAAGTGCAAGGTAGAGGAAGGCCCAGAACACGGACTCCATGTCGTCCATAGCGAGGTGCGGCGCGCTCAGTGGGTCGAGCTGTCTGGCTGCCGAGATGAATCTCCAAGTACCCGTCTGGTCCGGCAGTCTGGGCTTCCCTGTGTTCATCAGGTGCGGGCGCTGAGCGAGCTCCCAGTCAATAAGGAATCCACGTTCTTTGTAGATCATGATGTTGCCGAGGCTGATGTCACGGTGACGCCAGCCTGCCCGTTCCTCTGCGTACTGCAAGACTGTAAAAACGCACAAATAATATATCACAAGACAGTCAGCGTACGGCAGGGATTCCCAGCTCCACGACTGACATCCGTCAGCCAGTCAGTCGATCGAAAAAATTAGGCATACCTCCGAGCACATCGTACATCACGACCGACTCTTCTCTCCAACTTTGGAACGCCTTCGACTCGCGCGCAATCTCCCGCGTAATCAACCTGTACGGCCTCAACACTCTCTTCGCCGCCCACACCGTCCTGTCGTCCTCCGACTTGTGATTGCCTGTGTTGAACTTGGCGAACATGGTGCCGAATATGGTGTCGTAGCACTCCCCGTACGGCGCAACGTCCCAGGCGCAGAACACGGTCGGAACCCGGAGCACCTTGTTCTTCCGGAGCTCCTCGAGTATATCGTGCTCGGGAACGTACGTGGGCGTGGAGACGCGATACGTGTCCTTGAGGTGAAAAAGCTGTTTGGTCGGCAAATGGCAAACGACGAACGAGCGTGTCCCTTTGGCAAAGGGGCTCCGATCGTAGATATACAGGGGAGTAAGAATGAGGAAGGAATAGGACGACTTCTCATCGCCCCCATCGTGGTTGCCCTTGTCGCCGCCTTCCATGTCTGCCGAGAACGAAACACCGTCCGGTGCGGGGTGGGAGTTACGAGGATAGCGAGCGGCAGTGTTCTCGCCATGGGGAGGGGTACTCGGAAGCATTTTGAGGAAATACGCCTTGCGCGCGGAGCGTATCTTCGCTGTTTCCGGATTTCTCTTCTCCTCTTCGTCGATGATCATTTGGCGAGCCTTCTCAACGCGTTTGGACTCAGTCGCTGAACATCGCAGGATAGAGCAATCGAACCCACGCTGGGCCCGGGTCATGAAGCTGTACCGCCAGATGAATTCGGACAGAAGCGAACTAGAGTTGATTTCGAAAGCCTCGGAGACGACGGCACCGGCACGCTCCCAGCGGATGAGACGTGCGTGGGTTCTCATGACGAGGATGGAGAAGAAGAAGAAGCGAAACTGGAGCTGGAAGATGGCACTCGCGTACGAGCAAATCTGGCTACGCGTCGCACGACCGTCCACCGTCTGCGCTTCGAATGGAAAGCGCTTATCGCGCGAGTCGTGCTTGCTGCCGTCGTCGAACGGGTCATAGGTGATGTTGGGCTTGAACTCGTGGGCACTGTCGGCAAGTGTGAGGTCTGGGGTGTTACTGGTAGGGCACCACTCTGAGTCGTAAGTCGTGATGTCAGGCTTGAGACCGTCGCGGCGAAGATCTTCACCCAGGGGTACCGTGTGGGGATCGGAACGACTGTGGGTGTCCTTGTATTCCATCCTATTGTGATCGAGCTGGCGACATGTAGCAACCTATGAAATAAGAAGGGAAAGGCGTGAGAGGCGGCGACTAGGCAGAGCAGATGGAAGAAAAAGCAGGAGATTTACAAAAGGCTGATACATGTCCCTCTCGTGTTTCTTGTCAGTAACACCGTGCCATGACACTGTTGGCATTATTCCCGAATCTTTGGGCGGCTTTGGCATAAAGGTGTTGAGGAACGTCCTAGCTTTCATCGGCCCGGTAAATTTACCGGCACATTCAGTAAACAGCTTTTTGTTGATCTCTATGAGCGACTGTTGCGAGGACGAGTACGGTTGCGTGCTGTCGAGGTTCGGTGATATCATGGTGTTACATAGTCCCAAAGCATTGCCAGCTGGACGTCGTCGAGAGATGGTCTCATCGCGTGAAGGAGCGTCATACTGTGACCTGTACCCGGCGCGTCCGGCGAGTCCGGCGACGCCTGGAGGCATCCGGCACTGCCTGGAGGCAGACGAGTTATGCCTTCAGGCAAATTCGAACACAGACGAGTTGTGCCTCCAGGCAGGATCCAACACATACGAGTTGTGCCTCCAGGCATGTTCGTACGACACGCTAATTGCCTGGAGACACAACTCGCATGTGCTCGGAATCACCTGGAGGCACAACTTGTGTGCTTGAATATGCCTGGAGGCGCAACTCGTATGCGTTCGGATTCTCTCCAGGCAAAAACATTCCAGGTTGGTTCCCGCGGGGTAGGGGGTGAATAGGGGGTGAGCAGGTAGGTGGTCTGCAGGCTGTAAATGGGCAAAAATAGGGCTATGGGGTCTGTGAGCAGGGTGGACTGAACGGTGAACCAGGAGAGAATGATAGGCAATAAAATTGCGGGAAAATGGTAGAATAATAATACATATATGCCTGTGCACCCTTGGGGTACTAGCCTGGGTACCAATAGGGGAAACAGGGTGATATGGGAGTATTTTTGTAACTTTGCAAGTTTTGAGATTTCGAACAAATGAATCACATTGCTCGGTGTCGTTTCGATGGAATCAGTGTATAAAACGTGAATTGATGATGTGATTTGGCGAGATGAAGGAGGCCAATTTTGGGAGTTCTGTCTATTTGACA